CAGTTCCTGGTTTCGTTGGTCTGTTCTATTGTTTTTTTTTTTTTTAGTTTACGTATCATATTTGGTCTAATCTGTATTATTTCCTTCCTTTTGCTGGGTTTGGGCTTCATGTGTTCTTTTTCTTGCTCCTTTAAATGTAAGTTTAAGTTGTTTTGAGATTGTTTTTTTCTTGAGGTAGGCCTATATTGCTATAAACTTTCCTCTTAAAACCACTTTTGATGCATCCCAGAGTTTTGGATCATTGTGTTTTCATTTTCATTTTCATTTGTTTCCATGTAATTTTTGATTTCTCAGTTGACCCATTCATTGTTTAGAAGTGTTTTATTTAACCTTCATATGTCTGCTCTTTCCAGATTTTTTTCTTGTAGTTGATTTCTAGTTCACTGTGTTGTGATCAGGGAAGATTAATGATATGCCTTTGATTTTTATAATTTTATAATTTGTTGAGACTTGTTTTGGCCTAATATGTGATCTTCTCAGTAGGACAGTATTCTTTGTGCACTTAAAAAGAATGTATATTCTGTTATTTTAGGATGGAATGTTCTGAATGTGTCTGTTAAATACATCTGGTCCAGTTTGGTATTCAAAGTCCTTGTTTCCTTGTGTATTTTCTCTTTGAATGATCTGTCTCTTGATGCAAGTGGTGTGTTACAATCTCCTATTACTATATTATTATCAATTAGTTCCTTTAAGTTTGTTATTAAGTGTTTAATGTATTTGGATGCTCCCGTGTTGAGTGCATAAATATTTTGTGATTATTATATTCTCTAGCTATGGAATGTACCCTTTATTATTATATAGTGTTCTTTTTTGTTTCTGGTTATAGACTTTGTTTTAAAGTCTGTTTTGTCTTATGCAAATATTGCTGCTCCAGTTTTCTTTTGACATCCATTTGCATGATAAATGTTTCTCCGTCCCTTCACTTTCTTTTAAAATTTAAACCCATTCTTTACTCCTCTCCCCGCAACATCTTAGGTATATGGACTGAATTTTACAGAAATAATTATTTTTAATACTTTTGTGTTTTTTACCTTTTATACTTTCACTGTGGTCTTTGCGAGTCCCCTGTTATATTTCTAATAGGGCTAATTTAGTGGTCTTGAACTCCCTTAGATATTGTTAGGCTGAGAAACACTCTCTCCTTCTGTTCCAAATGATAGCCTTGCTGGATAGAGTATTCTCGGCTGCAAATATTTCTCCTTTCAGCACTTTGAATATATCATGCCACTTCTTTATGGCCTGCAAAGTTTCCACTCAAAAGGCTGCTGATAGCCTCATAAGGTTTTCTTTTTTTTTTTTTAATAAATTAATTTTTATTGGTGTTCAATTTACCAACATACAGAATAACACCCAGTGCTCATCCCGTCAAGTGCCCCCCTCAGTGCCCGTCACCCATTCACCCCCACCCCCCACCCTCCTCCCCCTCCACCACCCCTAGTTCATTTCCCAGAGTTAGAAGTCTTTATGTTCTGTCTCCCTTTCTGATATTTCCCACACATTTCTTCTCCCTTCCCTTATATTCTCTTTCACTATTATTCATATTCCCCAAATGACTCATAAGGTTTTCTTTGTATGTAACTGTCTTTTCTCTTTAAAATGCTTTATTTATCACTATTTTTTCTGTTCTAATTCTTAATGTGTCTTGGTGTGAACCTCCTTGCGTTGAATTTGTTGGGAGTCTCTGTGCCTCTTGAATCTGGATCTCTGTTTCCTGCCCCACATTTGGGATGTTTTCAGCTATTTTTTCTTCAGATACATTTTCTGCCCCCCTTTCTCTACTTCTGGGATCACTATAATGCAAATGTTGTTATACTTGATTGAGTCACTGAGTTCTCTAAGTCTATTTCTGTTATGCATTGTTCCTCTCTCATCTGTTCAGCTTACTTGCTTTCCATTACTCTGTCCTCCAGGTCACTAGTAAGTTTCTGTTTTTTTATAGCCTACTGTTTATTCCATCTATCATATTTTTAACTTCATTTATTGAGTTCTTTATGTCTGATAATGTTATTTTATTTCTTTGCTAAGGATCACACCGATAATGTCCACTCTTTTCTCAAGTTCAGTGAATATCTTTATGATCATTACTTTTTATTTATTTTTTAAATGATCATTACTTTAAATTCTCTGTCAGGTATACTAACTTCTTTTTCACTTGTATCTCCAGTTGTGATTTTGTCAAGTTCTTTCCTTTGGATCACATTCCTGTGTCTCCTCATTTTGTCTATCTCTGTGTTCTTTTTCTGTGTGGTAGGAAAGTCAGTTAAAATCTCATGCTCTTTAAAATAGTGGCTTCATGAAGGAGAGGTTCTGTATCTCCCTGCAGCACAGTGTTTCCTGTTCACCAGAATGTGACACTTCAATGGAGTCCCCTCTGTGTGTTTCTTGCATCCTACTATTTTGCTTTCCTTTTCATTTTAGACTTCTGCACAGACTCTCCCTGTTGGGAGCTGTACTTGCTTTCTCTGGGTGTTAGTGAGACCCAGGCAGACTGGCTATGAGGGGGCATGACCATAGAAAGGCTAGGGGGCGGGTACAGCATTGTTTTCAAAATTTGTGGAGTCACTAGTCCTAGGTCCAGATCCCCTACGTTGTGGTGGTAGCCATTTGTGCAGCACGTGTTAGCAGCCTGGCACAAGGCACATGTCTGAGGTCACAGCAAGGGGCACGTGGGTCTGTATGCATGGTGGCTGGGGGCCTGTGGCAGTTGGGCAGTGCACACGTGTCTTCACAAAGTCTGCACCAAACTGCTAGGCCTGGCCACATCCCCCCAGAGTGCAGTGGTGGCACAGTAGGCAGAGGCATCGACTAGGTGGGGCACGCATAATGCTGAAAAAATTTGCCCTGACTCCAGGGATGGCAGACTTGGAGTGGGTGAGTCCTGGGGAGAACTCATGGTCATGGTGCATTGCTCACAAGTTAGTAGCAAGTATCTGTGCAGCACTCTCCTGGCAGGTGGCTCTGTGTTAATGCCGAGGAATAGGGGAGGAAAATGCCACCTGCCAGCTCCTTTGTTCCCAGGGAAGTTCCCCAATCTGCCCTGAAATCCAAATAAATGGATCTCCTTCCCCTTGTGCCATCTGTTGCTTCTATGTTGCCTTTTGTGCAGATTCTTACCTCTTAAAGGGCAGGGACCTGGCTATCGCACATCCTCCTTGCTCACCTAGTGCTGAGTCAGCTGACCTTCAGAGCTCCAGACTCCAAGTCTGCTGGTTATACTAACTCATGGAATTCAGCCCTTCTGGTTTTTAGGCCAGATTGTACAGGGATTTATTTTCCCTGGTGCTTTCTCTTCTTCTCTCCCTCCTGCGGGCACCTCTCCACCACCTTTCCGCTTTCCCTAACCTCTCCCATGCTGGCTATTTCTCTGCATCGGGCTGTGGAATTTGTTCTGCTAGTCTTCAGATTGCTCTCCAGTTAATGGATGTGGATGTGAGTGATAACCTAGTGGTAAACGTGGACTGGGGTGGGTGTAGGGTCCTCCTACTCTGTCATCTTGTACTCCCTCCTCCTACAGATGTTTAAAAAACTGTTTAGAACTTTTGGTTAGCTACTTGGTTATTGTTTCATTAATGGTGCTTGTTTGCTTGGTTATGTTGTGAATAACGATGTAATTCTTTAACATAGATATTTGGAGGTCCTGACAAATCCATATTTCTTGCTGTTTCTCCCTCTTTTGGTACATTATACATTTATATGCACGTTTACATACATAAACAGTGGGGAACCTGGCTAGGATTTCAGAGGTTTAATGCTGACATAAGTAGTGGTAGTATAAGGCCATGATAATTTGGGTTTTGAATTTTGAATGATAAAGATGAGCTCATTTTCATTACTTCTTTTTTTTTTTTTTTTTTTATTTATTTATGATAGTCACAGAGAGAGAGAGAGAGGCAGAGACACAGGCAGAGGGAGAAGCAGGCTCCATGCACCGGGAGCCCGATGTGGGACTCGATCCGGGGTCTCCAGGATCGTGCCCTGGGCCAAAGGCAGGCGCCAAACCGCTGCGCCACCCAGGGATCCCTCATTTTCATTACTTCTATATAAGTTTAATCAGAATACAATGTATATAATTCAAGAATTTTAATGCAGAATAATTTGACCTTTTGCGTAGTCAAGATGAACTTTATCCATGGCTTTGTACTGTAGAAATTCTACCAAGATTTTATTTTCATTTGTACAAATAAATGCCTTTTGGGGGAACATTTAATGAAAAGGGTTTGAAAAGGAGAATTTAACTTTGGAGGAATTTTTTCTCTACCTTGTTCCATGTACCTGCCATTTACTTACTCATTTCATTCTTAAAGCAACCCTGCAAGGTTGCCTTTATTCATATTTTACAAACTAGGTTAAGTAACTTGTTTAAGATAATAGAGTAGTAATGGTAAAGTTGGGACTTAAATCTAGGTCTGTCTGGGCCCTTTCATTGCTCTGTCAAGGAATCAGCCATGAGGAACATAAAGGATAATGAAAGGTAAACTAGGGGGAAAAAAATGAAAGGAATATCAAGTTCAGTAAAATTAAAGTATTTAAACAAATTTTATCTTAGTTATTACAGAAAAATTATTTTTCATGGAAAAATTACTAATTTTGCTAGAAAAGCTTTTTCTAGAATAAGGACTTATTTAATCTAAGGGCCATAAATATTAAACCAAATTTTTTTTTAAACCAAATATTTTATAAACAGTCTTAAAGCAAATTAAAATGTCAGGTAGAAGGGCACCTGGATGGCTCACTGATTAAAGATCCTACTCTTGATTTCAGCCCAGGGTCATGATCATAGGATCCTGGGATCAAGCTCTGCTCAGGTGGTGACTGCCTGGGATTCTCTCTCTCACTCTGCCTGTCCCTCCACCCCTGCTCACGCTCCACACACTCTGTCTCAGAGTATCTCTCTTTCTCTCTCTGCAAAAAAATAAATAAATAAACTGTCTAGTAGATATCATACCACAGTGAAATGTATTTGGTATCAAGCTTAACTGTGTCGTCTTTTTCTTTGTTAGATGTTGATGATGGAGACACGGTGACAGATTTTATGGCTCAAGAGCGAGAAAGAGGCATTACTATTCAATCTGCTGCTGTTACCTTTGATTGGAAGGGGTATAGAGTCAATCTAATTGATACTCCAGGTATGGTACTGTTCTAGCAATGCAGAGATGCTACATTATTGGAGGTTTTTGTTGTGGATGTGTTTTCTTTTAAATTGTGACAAAACATATATATATTGGGGTACCTGGGTGGCTCAGACAGTTAAGTGTCTGCCGTGTCTGCCTTTGGCTCATGTCATAATCTCTGGGTCTTGGGATCGAGCCCCAAGTCAGTCTTCCTGCTCAGCAGGATGTTCCTCCCCCCGCCAACCCATTCCCCCTACTCGTTCCCTCTCTCTCTCAAATAAATAAATCTTTAAAATATATATGTAAGGTAAAACTTACCATCCTAACCATTTTTAAGTGTACAGTTCAGTAGTTAAGTATATTTACATTGTTGTAAAACTGATCTCCAGAAGTACTTTATCTTTCAGGTCTGAAACTATGTATCTACTATACACCTACTCTTGTTTGTCCCCACCTCCTGTTCCTTGTAACTACCTGTCTAACTTTTTTTATCTAGGAGATTAATATTTCATATAAGTAGAATCATACAGTATTTGTCCTTTTGTGATTGGCTTTTTTTGTTTAGCATGAAGTCCTTCAGAATCCATCTGTGTTGTAATATGTGAAGATTTCCTTCATTTTTTAAGGCTGCATAACTACATTCCATTTTACATATATAACATATTTGTATATATACAAAACTTTATATGTATACCATTCATCCATTGATGGACATTTGGGTTGTTTCCACCTTTTGGCTATTGTGAAAAGTGTTGCTATGAACATAGTTTGCAAATATTTCTTTGATTTCTTTTTCAGTTCTTTTGAATATATACCCAAAAGTAGGATTGCTGGATCATGCTTTTTTAAAGATTAAGTGTATTTTTCTCATCTTTTTCTTAGGTCATGTGGACTTTACCTTGGAAGTTGAGCGCTGCCTTAGAGTGTTGGATGGTGCAGTAGCTGTGTTTGATGCTTCTGCTGGTGTAGAGGTAAAAATACTGCCAAAGTAAAGTGAAGCTACAATAACGTGATTATTTTTTTTAAAGTAGAATGTATCAGATTTAATTAACTATAACCTGATAGGGGTTTATATAAATCAAATTATGGTGAAAGAATTGGAGTTTAATATTGTAGTATGATCTGTATGTGATCTCAGATGTTTCATAGTAAAAGGAAAGTTTCTTTTCTGTAGGAAATAGGAAAGTTGTGGTTAGAACTATGATGGGCTTGAGGTTCTTCTACCTTACTTTCAAGCTAACTAGTTAATCTGCCACAGTTTTATGGCATGGTGGCAGAAGACAAAAGACTCTTGAGTCAGAGACAAAGAACTTTATTAGTCACAGAAATAGCAATGAAATAGCAATAGCCAGAGTATCAATATTATCTTGCATTAGTTCCCTAAGCCCCAGTTCCACAGGATGACCCAAAGGGAGCCAAGTGATAGCTGCACATACAGGGGTTGGAAAACACATATATTTTATAATGGGCAGTAAACCTACTTGCTGTTTGCTCTGGAGACAGACATTATCTTCCAGGGTTACAAGCAAAATCGACCTTTCAATCCAGAGGGAGACACTGTCTCTGTCTTGCTAAGCTGTGGATTATATCAACATCTTTTAAAAACATAGTCCAGAACAAAGGCATTCACTGCCTTTCTTAACAAAATATGTAGAAAGGTTAAAAACCCATGAAGAATTATCTCCCAACAGTTAATACATATTAAATTATTTTTTTTTTAATTTATTTATGATAGTCACAGAGAGAGAGAGAGAGAGAGAGAGGCAGAGGCAGAGACACAGGCAGAGGGAGAAGCAGGCTCCATGCACCGGGAGCCCGATGTGGGATTCGATCCCGGGTCGCCAGAATCGCGCCCTGGGCCAAAGGCAGGTGCCAAACTGCTGTGCCACCCAGGGATCCCTACATATTAAATTCTTGAATAAATCTTAAAAATGGATTTATAATAAATTATACTGGGGTTATTTACACACTTTTTAGCTGATATCTATCTCCCATTTTTCTTAAAATCTCAAGATTGGCTCCATGTTGAATATAGAATCATCTTCAGCTCTTCTAATTTTAAAGTTTTACTAAGAATGATACCTTAATTAAGTGATCACAATTAACATAACTCCAAATGATACAAACTGACACCATGGGCTTCCTGATAGGATGCACTAAGAAGGACACAACTTTACCAATGTTATATTCCTGACACACTGCTTGGCCCCAATCTGATCATGAGAAGACAGATGAATTTAAATTTAAAGACATTCTGTAAAACAGCTGGATGGGGCTTTTCAGAAATTGAAAAAAAAAAAAAAAAAAGTAAATGCAAGGAAGGTGAATGATTGGGAGTAAAAAGTTGAGGTACTGTTTTGGTTTATTTTTTTATTTTATTTTATTTTTTTTTAATTTTATAAATTAATTTTTATTGGTGTTCAATTTACCAACATACAGAATAACACCCAGTGCTCATCCCGTCAAGTGTACCCCTCAGTGCCCGTCACCCATTCACCCCCACCCCCCGCCCTCCTCCCCCTCCACCACCCCTAGTTCATTTCCCAGAGTTAGAAGTCTTTATGTTCTGTCTCCCTTTCTGATATTTCTCACACATTTCTTCTCCCTTCCCTTATATTCCCTTTCACTATTATTCATATTCCCCAAATGAATGAGAACATACACTGTTTGTCCTTCTCTGGTTACTGTGGCCAAGTTCAAAAAGGGTGTTGCCTGAGTTCTCCTCTGGGATTTTGATGGAATCTTGTCTCACATTTAGATCTTTCATCTATTTTGAGTTTATCTTTGTGTATGGTGCAAGAGAGTGGTCCAGTTTCATTCTTCTGCATGTGGATGTCCAATTTTCCCAGCACCATTTATTGAAGAGACTGTCTTTCTTCCAGTGGATCGTCTTTCCTCCTTTATCGTATATTAGTTGACCATAAAGTTCAGGGTCCACTTCTGGGTTCTCTGTTCTGTTCCATTGATCTATGTGTCTGTTTTTGTGCCAGTACCACACTGTCTTGATGAACACAGCTTTGTAGTACAACCTGAAATCTGGCATTGTGATGCCCCAAGCTATGGTTTTCTTTTTTAAAATTCCCCTGGCTGTTTGGGGTCTTTTCTGATTCCACACAAATCTTAAAATAATTTGTTCTAAGTCTCTGAAGAAAGTCCATGGTATTTTGATAGGGATTGCATTATACGTGTACATTGCCCGGGTAACATTGACATTTTCACAATATTAATTCTGCCAATCCATGAGCATGGAATATTTTTCCATCTCTTTGTGTCTTCCTCAATTTCTTTCAGAAGTGTTCTATAGTTTTTAGGGTATATTTTGAGAACCATTTGAATGGTAAATGGTTCTCCAACCTTTTATTTGCAGGTTGTAGGTGTCCTTCTGTCTAAAATGAGTCTCTTGTAGACAGCAAATAGATGGGTCCTGCTTTTTTATCCAGTCTGAAACCCTGCGCCTTTTGATGGGGTCATTAAGCCCATTCACGTTCAGAGTTACTATTGACAGATATGAGTTTAGTGTCATCATGATATCTATTTAGTCCTTGTTTTTGTGGATTGTTCCACTGAACTTCTTCTTAAAGGGGAGTTTTAAGAGTCCCCCTTAAAATTTCTTGCAGAGCTGGTTTGGAGGTCACATATTCTTTCAGTTCCTGCCTGTCTTGGAAGCTCTTTATCTCTCCTTCCATTTTGAATGAGAGCCTTGCTGGATAAAGTATTCTTGGTTGCATGTTCTTCTCATTTAGGACCCTGAATATATCCTGCCAGCCCTTTCTGGCCTGCCAGGTCTCTGTGGAGAGGTCTGCTGTTACCCTAATATTCCTCCCCATGAAAGTCAGGGACTTCTTGTCTCTTGCTGCTTTAAGGATCTTCTCTTTATCTTTGGAATTTGCAAGCTTCACTATTAAATGTCGAGGTGTTGAACGGTTTTTATTGATTTTAGGGGGGGATCTCTCTATTTCCTGGATCTGAATGCCTGTTTCCCTTCCCAGATTGGGAAAGTTTTCAGCTAGGATTTGTTCAAATACATATTCTGGCCCTCTGTCCCTTTCGGCGCCCTCGGGAACCCCAATTAAACGTAGGTTTTTCTTCCTTAGACTGTCATTTATTTCCCTTAATCTGTCTTCATGGTCCCTTAATTGATTGTCTCTTTTTTCCTCAGTTTCCCTCTTTGCCATTAACTTGTCTTCTATGTCACTCACTCGTTCTTCCACCTCTTTAACCCTCGTCGTTAGGACTTCTAGTTTGGATTGCATCTCATTCAATTGATTTTTAATTTCTGCCTGATTGGATCTAAATTCTGCAGGCATGAAGTCTCGTGAGTCCTTAATGCTTTTTTCTAGAGCCACCAGTAGCTGTAGAATAGTGCTTCTGAATTGGCTTTCTGACATTGAAGTGTAATCCAGATTTTGTAACTCTGTGGGAGAGAGGGCTGTTTCTGATTCTTTCTTTTGAGGTGAGGTTTTCCTTCTAGTCATTTTGCTCAGTGCAGAGTGGCCAAAAACAAGTTGTATTGGAACACGGGGGAGTATCACTGGTCCGTCTAGCTGGTCTTCTGGGGGAGGGGCCTGCTGTGCTGATTTTCAGGTGTTGGCACTTGGGGGAGCTGCTCTGCCCCTGCCTGCTGCCGGGCTCAGCGGGGGTTGTTTACCCCGTGGGGCCCCAGGAGGAACAGCAGCAGTTGCTATGGCAACTCTGGAAGCCTGGATTTAGCCTCCGCAGGAACTACGGACTACGGGCTCGGGGCTCTCGGTTCTCGTCTGCTGGGCCTGGAGGCTCCGGGGCGGGGCCGCTGATCTGCTCAGCTCGGGGCAGGAGCGTCCTTGCTGTCCTGGGCCCTCCCGGCCTCTGCCTGTCCCGGGGGAGGCCGGATCCTGGGCTGTGTCCCGGTGCCCTGTGCTCCGGGGCCTGCGCTGTTGGATTCGCGCTCCCGCCCGCAGCCCCTCCGCAGCCCCCCGAGCCCCTCTGAGCTGCTCCGGTCCCGCCATGCGCTGCAGCCCTTAGGGAGCTCGGAGCACTCTCCTGCGCTCGCAGGTGTCTGTTAGTGTCCCTGGGAGCCCGAGGGCATCCCCGCCCTTCTGGGTCCTGCTCCACCTCCCTGCGAGCCCCTTTCCGCCCGGGAAGGTTGTTGCAGCTCCTGCTTCCTCCGGGACGGGGCTCTCCTGTCCTGGGGACACTCGCCCCGGCCTCAGCCCGGCTCCTCGCGGGGCCCCTCCCCCTCGGAGGCCTTTTGTTTTATTCTTTTTCCCCGTCTTCCTACCTTGATAGAAGCGCGAACTTTTCTCACTGTAGCGTTCCAGCTGGTCTCTCTTTACATCTCAGGCCGAATTCGTAAATTTTCAGGATGGTTTGAAGGTTATCTAGGTAATTTGGTGGGGACAGGTGATTTGGGGACCCTGCTCTTCCGCCATCTTGCCCCCTCCCCACTGTTTTGGTTTAAATGATTCTAAAGATAAAAGAAGGGGTGCTTGGGTACCTCAGTTGGTTAAGCATCTGCCTTTGGTTCAGGTCATGATCTCAGGGTCCTGGGATTGAGTCCTGCATTGGGCTCCCTACTCCATGAGGAGTCTGCTTCTCCCTTTTCCTCTGCCCTTCTCTACCCCCACCCCACCCCCACACTTGTGTTTTCTCTAAAATGAGTAAATAAAATCTTTTTAAAAAATAGAGATACCGGGGATCCCTGGGTGGCTCAGCGGTTTAGCGCCTGCCTTCAGCCCACGGCGCGATCCTGGAGACTCGGGATCAAGTCCCACGTCAGGCTCCCTGCATGGAGCCTGCTTCTCCCTCCTCCTGGCCTCTTTCTCTCTCTATCATAAATAAATAAACCTTAAAAGAAAAAAGAATTTGCTTTAAAAAAAAAAAAAAAGCAAAAACAAACAAAAAAAAAACAAAAAAAATAGAGATACAAGAAAACTAAATGTAATATGATTTTTTGGATCCTGGATCCAAAACCAGAAAGTTAAAAAGGACATCATTAGGAAAACCAGAAAAATTTTAATTTGGCCTATATGTTATTAGAAAAAAGTATTGAGTTAGCTTAAATTTTTCTGAATGTGATCATTGAAAATTGTTATGTAGGGGAATATCCCCATTTTTAGAAAATACAGGCTGGAGTTTTAGTATCAAAATGTCATGATACGTGCATCTTAATCTAGTGGTTCACCTTCCACCCACACATACACGTATATTGTTAGTTTGGGTACTTTGTGCAGTAGATGCCAAGATAGGGTTAGATATATAGGAGATTTACTGGGGGAAATGCTTGTGCAGAATAAAGAAGAGAAAAGAGCAATGGGAGAGAAGAGTCACACCACAGGGCATATCTGACATCTGTCCATTAGGAGACCATAAAAGAAAGTTTGGGTAGGAAGAGGCTCAGATTACAGTGTAGTTCCCAAAAGGGTTTGGTGAAATTGATGGGGAATCCTCAAGCCAAAATCACCTGTTGGAGAAGTCCCACATGTCTTTTTTTTTTTTTTTTTTTAAGTTCCACGTGTCTTAAAGGAATAGCTTACATTAGCGTTTCTGCTGTACTCAGCCATTAGCTGGGCTTTGGGAGACCATGCTGTCGGTTAATTATGCTCTTTGTTGTAGATCCAAATGGCACACTCCCATAGTCACTCATGTAATGTGTGTATATGTACATATTTTTAAAAAAGGCAAGTGTGGCAAAGTGTTCATATGTGGTGAATCTAGATGAAGGGTACAAAGATGTTTATTTAATTCTTTCACCATTTTTTATAGGCTTGACATTTTTTTTTAATGAAAAATTATTGGGGGAAATAATACAGTTATTGAAAGCCTCACCTGACGACTCTGGACAAGCAGTGATATTTGCTTGATCTAAAGCCTGACCCTGAGGTCTGAGGTTGATTATGCATTGTTATTTCCATTTCTTTCTGAATCACTTCATTTCCTAATGATTGTGTTCCTTCTGTCATTATGACTCTTGTAAATTTCATAGTCATTGACAGATGGCATTTACAAGATTGAAAATGTTGGAATAGAAAGTTTCTGAATTTGTGACACAGAAACCACTTATTTGCTACAACGGTAGGTGGACTTTTAGCTAGCAGGTGTTGACGGGAGTTTTTGTTTATTTTTTAGTATCTTTTCTTAGAAAATTTATAGTGTACCTTTCCCCACCTCACCATACACAACGATTAACTTGGAGTGCATCGTAGTGTTAAGCTACATCTGTATAACTTCTAGAAGAAAAGTAAAATTTGTTTACAAGCTTAGGGATAGGTTAACAGTTTTTAATGACACAAAGCATAAAGAACACAGAAGAAAAGTTGATTCATTGGAACTTACCAAAATTATATCTTATTAAAACGAAAAAAATTAAAAGGTTGTAGGCTATGAGAAAATTTGTCATGTTAGATAAGTATTGTATGAATGTTAAATTTCCAAGAGTGTTTTAACACTACTGAGTATGTAGGACAATATCATTGTTTTAGGAAGTATGTGCTGAAATTTTCACAGTACATGGGTATAATAAAGGACTTGTATCCAGAATATCTGAAGAACTACAAATGAGTGATAAAAACTAACAACCCAAGAAAAAAAAAGGACAAAGGACTTCAGTGGATAGTTCACCAAGGAAGATATATGAATGGTCCAATGAGCACATGAAAAGATGGTCTGTCTCACTGGTTGTCAGGGAAATGCAAATTAAAATTACAAAGAGACAATTCATACCCACAGGAATGGCTAAAATTAAGAATAATGATGGCAAATATTGGTGAGGATGTGGAACAACTCTTATACAGTGTTGGTGGGACTATAAAATATTAATTATACCTTAGAAGATTAGCAGATTGGTTTTTTTTTTTTTAAGATTTTATTTATTTATTTGACAGAGATACCACAAGGGAGAACAAGCATGAGTAGTGGGGAAGGGCAGAGGGAGAGGGAGAAGCAGGCTCCTCACTGAGCAGGGAGCCAGACACAGGGCTCATGGGATCATGACCTAAGCCAAAGGCAGATGCTTGACTGAGCTACTGAGGCACTTTGGTAGTTTCTTATAAAGTGAAATTTGCACATGTCCTTCGACTCAGCACTTGAAACTCCTACATCTTTATCCAATAGAATGAGAACATTTGTCCTCTAAAGACTTGTTCAAAATGTTTATAGCAGCTAAATTCGTAATAGCCCTAAACTAGAAATAATCTAAGTGCTCATCCACAAGCAGATAGGAAAACCAGCTGGCACATTTATACAAAAGAATTTAGCCAAAAAAAAATAAGGAAGAGAGAAAGAAAAAAATGAACTGGTATACCCGACAATATAAATGAGTATCAGAAACTTTATGTTGAGCAAAAAAAAGCCGTTATTTATGAGATTCAAAACAAGGGAGAATGAATCTGGTGACAAATATGACAACAGATTGTTATTGGGGGATAGAGCATAAGAAAACTTATGTTCCATATTTTGATTGGGATAGCTATACTAATCAGAACTCACTGTACACTTAAGATGAGTGTTTTTATTCTATATAAATTTTAATTAATAAATTATAAAGTGGCTTCTATTTTAGCTAATGTCATTACATTAGCCTTTTTATGCTGTTTCAGGGCTTTGGGATTCACTAGGCAGAGATATTGTAATAGATTGGAACTATTGAAATATATTTTAAAAAAGTAGAATTAAAAGGAGTGAAATAGAAAAGTATATGAGAATTGCTACTTAGAAGTACAGTTACTGGGGACACTTGGGTGGCTCAGTGGTTGATCTTCTGCTTGTGTCTCTGCCTCTCTGTCTCTCATGAATAAATAAAATCTTAAAAAAAATACAGTTACTGGCTTTTTTTTCTTCTTTAAATCCTCTTTAGTTTACAACAACATTCACACATCACAAATACATGTTTTTATTGCAATAGCATTTTTTTAGTACACTCCTTTTAATGACACAACAACTATATGAATTAAGACAAAAGTCCATATTTCACAGGTCAGCAAGCTTAGGAGTTCAGTATTATTTGATCTGTACTAAGTAAGGTGAAACCAGACAAAAATTACATTTTTTAATTTTAAGGCATCTTTCCATGACTCTCTGTACCTTCCAGATGTATTGTTCTCTTTGTGTAGCAACCTAAATCACCCAAATTAGTATTCTTAGTTTGAAGTTTGCTCTTCATCAGACCTCATTACATTCTTAGCTTTGTTAGCCTACTAGCAGCAGAGTGACTGCCTCTAGAAGTGTGAATGCAACAGGACTAATTCTGTGCTAGAACAGAGCCCAATTCCATGTTATAATAGTTTCTTAGATCTGTTTGTTCCATACATAGTAACAGTTATTTTTGTCTAGTATGAGTATTTCTTCCTTTTTCTTTGCTTTAGGCACAAACTCTCACAGTATGGAGGCAAGCTGATAAACACAAGGTACCTCGAATCTGTTTTTTAAACAAAATGGACAAAACTGGAGCAAGGTATTTTAAGTGTTGTGTTTTCACTTATTAAAGTAGAAATACACTTTGAGCTTTAGTGGACTATAACTTAAATTTACAAACAGCTGTTTCCTGTAGAGTATAAATATTCCATGGAATCTCAGTTCAATCCCATTTTTAAAAAGTTTCAAAGCAGGTAGTTCGTGGCTTGAATAGCAGTGTGGGATTAATAGAGAGCTGACAGGTGATGAATCATGATTCTAATGCAGAGAGGCTGTATCCTATTTTCTAGAATCCTGACAGTGATGTCTTGCTGATTCCACTGGTTCTGTCTAGGGTAGTATTATATAATCACTGTTTTGCTGAAGGCTATGGTGCTTCTCATCATTGCTAAAGGTAGAGGATAGATGATTATTTCCTGTCTCCTGATTTTCCTTAGTTACTGGCTAATGGACTCTCCCTTGGCAACTGGGAGAGAATATAGATGTTTTAAGACCTGCATATAGGGCAAAAAGGTTAATCCTGAGATGTGGTGGTAATGCTCAAAGACTCACAGGATGCTAATCCAAAATGGATAAATGGTTCTGAGGAAATGAGAATTCAGAGAATCAAGAATATTAAGAATTTTGGGGAAATGTGATGAGAGAGATCTGGGGTGTCTGGATGGCTTACATGGTTAAGTGTGTGCTTTTGGCTCAGGTCATGATCTCCACGTCCTAAGATCGAGCTCCACGTTGGGCTCCCAACTCAGTGGGGAGTCTGATTCTCTTTCTCCCTCTGCCTCTCCCCCAGCTCATGTTTTCTCTCTCTGTATCTTTGTGTCTTTAATGAATAATAATAAAAAAAAGATCCTGGTCTGTGATACAAGAGTGGCAAAAACAAAGCATAAACTATCCTTCTCCTAAAAGCACGCAGTATGCTTTCTGTTTAATTCTCTACAGTAATTCTAAAACTGATAACGTGATACTAAGAATGCCTAAGATAAAGGCATAGAAAAATTAGGCTGCCTTTTGGAAAAAAGGTAGCTGTTTGTGATAGCAAGTTGTTGGAATGAATCATGGACTTGTAATCACGAATCATGCATTTGAATCTCCTAATTGCAATTTATTATCAGTGACCTTAATCAGTTTATTGAATCTTAATTTCAGAGTATAAGTGAAGCTTACAGTAGTACCCTGGATACCTGTGTGGCAGGATTACAGTAGATACTCAAGCACTTTTATCTGAAATTGACATTGAAAGTTTTTTCAACATATTGTTCTATGGAAAACTGTTAAATGATGAACCTGAAAGACAGTACAAAGGGTTCTAATTTTAGAGAACATTTTTAAACCTGTTTTAAGAATCTTAATGTTTTTGTTTTTGTGTTTTTAAAGATTTTATTTTTATTTATTCATGAGAGATAGAGGAAGGCAGAGACACAGGCAGAGGGAGAAGCAGGCTCCATGCAAGGAGCCGGACATGGGACTGGATTCTGGGTCTCCAGGATCACACCCCGGGCTGAAGGTGGCACTAAACTGTGGAGCCACCTGGGGTGCCCAAATCTTAATGTTTTTAACTCTAGTTATTTTGCTTTCTGCAGTTTTAAGTATGCAGTTGAAAGCATCAGAGAGAAGTTGAAGGCAAAGCCTTTGCTTTTACAGGTTGGTTGATAAATATTTGGTTGATTAATAGCAACTCCAGGGGCACTTGGGTGGTGTGGTTGGTTAAGTGTCTAACTCTTGATTTCGGCTCAGGTCATGATCTCGGGGTCGTATGATCATGTGTGGAGCCTGCTTAAGGTTCTTTCTCCCTCGCCCTCTGCCTCTCCCTCTGTGCTGGCACATGCTGCCTGTGCTCACTTGCTCACTTGCTCGCTCTCTCAAAAAAAAAAACAACTCTACATTTCCTTATCAGCTTGTTTTATTGCGACTTACATATTTCTAAAACTATCTCACATCTTTTTTGAAAGAAGTTGGCATAAAAATAAAGACTGTGGTAATAATGATAATAGACAGTTGGGGGAAAGTAGAGAAAGATCAGTTTTATCAGCACCAGTGCAATTCTAATTGAGTGGTCATTTAACAAAGTTAATCTCTGATTTGCAGTTACCACTTGGTGAAGGCAAAGCTTTTGAAGGAGTTGTAGATGTTGTAAGTAAAGAAAAACTTGTTTGGAATCGCAAATCAGAGGATGGAAAAGACTTTGAGAGGAAACCTCTCTTGGAAATGAGTGATGCTAAACTGTTGAAGGAGACAACGGAAGCAAGGAATGCCTTAATTGAACAGGTGAAATAAATACTTTTATTTGTATACATATTTAGAAACTTTAGAAATATTTCATATATTGTGAAATTTTATATAAAATTGCATATGGGATAGGAAGTATACTGAATAATAGAATGAACACCCACATTTGCACCATCCAGGTTAAGAAATAGAATATTAGCAATACTCTTGAATCTCTGTGTGCCATTTACTATCTCTTTCTTTTCCACTAATCATTTACACCTGTCACCACCAGTATCCTGACTCTAGTGTTTTTCTTTCATTGCTTTGCTTTTTACTTTACTACAAGTGGATATATTCATGAAGGACTTAATTTTCCATGTTTTTCAACTTTTCATAAATGAAATGATGTTGTTTGTACTCTATAACATTTTGTTGCAGATTCATTCCTGTTATGTGGGATTATGCTTCATTTTCAATCTTTTACAATGTTCAAGAAGTAATATACCACAACTTACTGTCTGTTCTTCTGTGGATAGACTTTGAGGTTATGTATTTTTTGCTGTTTGAAATAGTATCGTGGTGAACATCTTTGTAGGTATCTCCTTGTGCACACGTGAAAGAATTTGTTTAGGATCACACCTGGGAATGGAATTACTGAGTCAAAAGTTGTGTCCATCTTTTACTGTATCAAAAGTCACAGTAACTTAGAAAATTTTAAAATCGTTAATTTTATAGTTAATAAAGAACTCTGGACCTCATCCACCCTCAAGGTTTTTTTTTTTTTTTCTTTTTTTAAGATTTTATTTATTTGAGAGAGACAGTGAAGTACGACAGGGGGAAGGGCAGAGGGAAAGGGAGAAAAAGACTCTCTGCTGATCAGGGACTCCCTCATCACCATGACTTAGGGCTCAATCCCAGGACCCTGAGATCATGACCTAAGCTGAAGGCATATGCTTAACAGACTGAGCTATCCAGGTGCCCTCACCCTCAAATTTTAATGGAAAATACTAAGATTCTTAATACTTATAATATTTATATAGTACTGTTGGTATATATAGATTAATAAGTAAAACATGCCTTAAACTCTGAATCTTCTGGTAGAGAAAAATATTGGAGTCCAAACTACTTTATTTATTTATTTATTTATTTATTTATTTATTTATTTATTTACTTACTTACTTACTTACTTACTTTATTTATTTATTTATTCATTCAGAGAGAGCAAGAGAGAGGCAGAGACACAGAGGGAGAAGCAGGTTCCATGCAGGAAGCCCGATGTGGGACTCAATCCTGGGTCTCCAGGATCACACCCTGGGCTGCAGTCGGTGCTAAACCACTGTGCCACCGGGGCTGCCCGATTTTTTTTTTTTTTTTCTAAATTAAACTGTTCAGAATAGATCCTCACACCATTTTCATTCATCTTTTGTATGAATTTATTTTTTGAAGTAATTATTTTCCATTATCCTACATAATAATCATTAAATTTATCATTAACAGGATGTCAATTGTTGTTACTTTTATTATTGGGTAACAGTTACTGAGGGCCTATGATGATCTAGCTTAAGTGTTTTACATTATAATTTAATCCTTAAATAAGTTGTTACACAGCTAAAAAGTAGCAGAGCTGGAATCTAAACCCAGGACTGTCTGCATTTGGAGGTAGAGCTCTTAGCCACTTTGCTAAACCACTTCTCTAATTTGGGAGGCCATAAACATAATGAAAGTAGAATTCACATTTATTAATAAATGGGTACCTAATTGGTTCCCCTTTGAGGTTTTCTTTGTTGTCTATGCATGTCTTAGAACATGATGGTATAGAATGAAAATAAAATTTGAGACTATACAAAATAATAACGTGCTAATTACAAGGAATATATATATAGGTATGCAATTAGAATTTAAGACCACATTACACCCATTAGGATATCTCCTGTGAAACCTCCAAATCAGAAGAGTGCTGGCAAGGATGTGGAGAAACTAACCTTTGTGTACTGTTGGTAGGAATGAAAATGATGCAGCCACTGTGGGAAATGGGTGGGTGGGTGGGGGGGTTACTCAGAAAACCAGAAAACAGAATTACCATATGATTTAGCAGTTTTACTTCTGGATGTATAGCCAAAAGAATTGGAAGCAGGGTCTTGAAGAGATAATTGAACATCCTTATTCATAATGGCCAGAAGGTGGAAGCAACGCAAGTGTTCATCAATAAGATGAGTGAATAAAATGTGGTATATACATATAATGGAATACTATTCAGCCTTAAAGAGGAAGGCTGTTGATACATAGTACAATGTGGATGAACCTTGATGAAATTATGCTAATTGAAATAAGCCAATCACAAAAACAAATACTGTAGTGATTCCACTTTTATATGAGGTATTTACGGTAGTCACATTCATAGAGACAGAAGATAGAATCATAGTTGCCAAGGGTTAAGAGAGTGGAGATTGAGGAGGAATTTGTTGCATGGGACAGATTTTTTGGTTTTGTGGATTGGAAAAGTTCCAGAGTTTAGTTTTACAACAATGTGAATATATTTAACACTATTCAGCTGTTCAGTTAGAAATGGTTAAGATGGTAAATTTTATGTAATGTTTATGTTATATTTTACCACAATTAATTTTTTTTAGAGAGTAAGATTAATGTGGACTAGAATCAACTTCCTGTGTTCTGGAGGTGAATAGTGATAATTACTGTATACTTATGTATGTCCTAGAAAGAGGATTTGGTTATTTAATCCTTGTCCTATGAGGTAGGTACTAGTATTATCTGCATGCATAACCAAGGTAAAGAGGGATGATGTAACCTGACCTAAGATTTTGAACAAGTTAGTAAGTAGTGGAGCTACTCCAGAAGCTGTGTTTAACCATCATATCTGCTGCTTTTCAGTAGAATGATTAGTTATGTTTCTACAATAGTTAGCGGTTAGAAGTGTGTTTTTCTCCCCCAAGTTTGAATGTTTTGCTCCCTTGTACTTTCACAAACTTTTGAAACTTTTATTAAAGTTATTGTCAGCTGAATTCTATTTCATACAGGCAGATGATTAAGAACATGAATTAGATAATTGCATTTTTATTGCTGAAATGATGCCTTTGATCCCTACCCCACCCCCAACTTAAATCTGTTCCCTCAGCGCAGGATTACAGTAAGAAGAGTTATTTTAATTGGAGTGCCTTAGGAGATGTGAACATTTATAATCTGAAAGGACTACCAGGTGAAACTTTATGAACTAAGACTTCCAAATTTATCTAAAAACAGCAATCCATCATATATATTATCACTGATGGTAAATTTTGTATCTTATTTCTTTTGAGCACTCTGAGTAGATAGATAGCACTTTATTGACATACTTTATCTGGCTATTGCTTCCATGAATAATATAGGGAACTCATAATAGCCTATCTTCAGCTTTTAATCCCTTTTCCTTTCCTTTGAAAGAAGCACTATTTGTCTCCTGAGCAGATGTGGAGAGTTCCTTGACCTGGATAAGATAGATCATGTAGCTGTCTTGAAATATTTGGATAATGCACATTTATGGTATTTGGACTTAACAGCTGTGACAATAAAAGTAAGTTACAGAACTAAAACCTTTCTTTATAGGTTGCAGATTTGGATGATGAATTTGCTGACTTGGTTTTAGGAGAATTTAGTGAAAATTTTGATTTGCTACCAGCTGAAAAGGTAAATTTTACTCATTTGCTTTGAAATTTTATTAATTGGATGTGGTATGATTTTTGTCTCATGTGTCTTGTTTTTTTCAACTTTGCATAGCATTAGAAAGCATTAGGAGAACTTTAAGGTAAAGTCACTATTAATACAAGTACTTAAATAATGGTAATGATTTGCTTTTGTCATATATACTTTACAAAATCAGAAATTGAATCTTTACTGCTGTTGAGTCAGCATAAGCTAAATGTTCCTTCTTTGCAGCATTTTCATTGAGATCATTTTTCTAAGCAGCTAAGGTAAATTACAGGTAGAAATTTTGTATTGAAAATTTGTTTTATAGACTGCTGCAGTGATTATTTTTCTCATTTTTTCTGAATATGATTTAAGTTTTCTTGGAAGCTCATTACAGGTCTTTAATTTTTTGTTTTCTTTTCAAATACATTAAGCCAGACAATAGCCATGTTAAATAGTGGTAGTCATTGAATTAGGACAGATTTCTTCAAGCCATTTCTGTTATTTTCTGCCAGGAACCTTACCCCACAAATTTGACAAACTTAATTTTTAGTTTTCTTTGTGAAACAAGAGTTACACAGTTAAAGTTGGTTTTTGTTTTGTTTTGTTTTTTAAGTAAACTCTGTGACCAATGGAGGGCTTGAACTTAGGAGCCTGAGGTCAGGCCCTGAATGCTCCACCAGCTGAGCCAGCCAGGCACCCCCTGCAAGTAACATGTTTTTAGGTGGTGGTATGTGTAATGGGGACCAGGATGAGCCCAGCAAAATTACTTACTTTTCACAAAAGGAATTAAGAAAAACATGAGTCTCTAGGTTAATTTTGAGACCTTGAAGTTAGAAACGGAAAAAAGTATTTTTCTTTTGAATGCCTTAATTATAGAAATTATTTTTTGTTCAATGTTTAAATGTTAGGTATGATGTTTATTGTGCCTTATAGTCGCATAACAAGATTTCTGTTTTCAAAAAGCTTATAATCTGAGATAGAATTGACCCACCATGTCTCTTATCAACTTGCAAGCGCACCCAAGTTTTTCTTGGTTTTTGAGGTCTTTCAAATTTGATTTCCACTTTGATTTTTCATTTTTCTTTGGATTTGATTGGATGTGGGTCTAATTCCTTTGAACAATTATAATTCATAGTTACATTTTTAATTTCTGGTCAGTTCCTCTATTAGACTATAAATGCTAAATCAGAAGTATATTCAAGAAATATTTTTAGGGGATCCCTGGGTGGCACAGCGGTTTGGTGCCTGCCTTTGGCCTAGGGCGCAATCCTGGAGACCCGGGATCGAGTCCCATGTTGGGCTCCTGGTGCATGGAGCCTGCTTCTCCCTCTGCCTATGTCTCTGCCTCTCTCTCTCTCTCTCTGTCTCTCTCTCTCTCTCTCTCTCTCTGTGTGACTATCATAAATAAAAATTTAAAAAAAAGAAATATTTTTAAACCTACTTATTCGAAGTAATTTTTCTAGCTTCTGGGGATTTAGCAGTCTATGCCTATGTCTCTGCCTCTCTCTCTCTCTCTCTCTCTCTCTCTCTCTCTGTGTGACTATCATAAATAAAAATTTAAAAAAAAGAAATATTTTTAAACCTACTTATTCGAAGTAATTTTTCTAGCTTCTGGGGATTTAGCAGTCTATGCCTATGTCTCTGCCTCTCTCTCTCTCTCTCTCTCTCTCTCTCTCTCTCTCTCTCTGTGTGACTATCATAAATAAAAATTTAAAAAAAAGAAATATTTTTAAACCTACTTATTCGAAGTAATTTTTCTAGCTTCTGGGGATTTAGCAGTGTTTTTATGGGACTCGTTATAATGCTTATATGGATTTTGTATTCTAGTGGGTGGGGAGACAGACAATAAACCATAAATACATATCCAAGATACCAAATAGTGAATAATGTTATAAAGAAAAGTAAAGAATAATAAAGCCAGAAAGAACAATGGAAATGTGCTAAGTAGTTCTGTTTTGCATAGTTGTTGGGGAGGTCATCTAATTCTGAGTTACTTTGGTCGAGGCCAGTATACCGCACACAGAATACTTCTGTCTCTGCCTTATAGCTACAGACTGCAATACACAGAGTAACCCTGGCTCAGACAGCAGTGCCTGTGCTTTGTGGAAGTGCCCTGAAAAACAAAGGGGTCCAGCCCTTGTTAGATGCTATTACTATGTACTTGCCTTCACCCGAAGAGCGCAACTATGAATTTCTGTAAGTATGCACGTTAAATTAAAATCTTACATCCTTGAAAAAACAGGCAGATAGGTCTTGTTTCACAAAGAGTAGTTGAATCATCATTTTTGAGTAACATTGGTGAAGAATAAATTATAACTAATACAGAACTCTATGTTACTTGAAAGGGACATTTGTCATTATCTCTTGTAACCTGCTATGTTTACAGATAGAGGTAGAATGTGTGGCTTTTTTGCTGTATAAAAGTAGAAGTGTTTACTAAGCTGTCTTATTTTTTACAAAACAGTATAGTGGGGATGTTTGATAAATATTCTGTAACTATGTTTATACTAGATTTCAAGCTTTTTAATCTCAAAATACTTTGTGGCTATAAAGAAAGGTCATCGTTTTACTTGTTGCTAACAGCTTTGTACTTAGTGATAAATCCTCTAAAATCTGCGTGAGCATTGTACAAAATGGCAGTTAGAAATGGGCTTTAATCCTTTAAGTAGAGATGAATCACTTTACATGTCTCTCAGTTGGAGAAGCATTAATGGTAAAGTGATTATGAGCTTGGACTGTATGCTGTCTGGATTTAAATTCCAGGTCTTCCAAGTTATTTAACCTCTTACCTGTAAAATGGCAGAGAATATAACATATACAATAATATTTAATACAAGTGTTTCACCTACTTTGAGTCATGGGCTCCTTTGAAACTGAGAACAGGGAGCTTTTCCTTAGAAAAATGTGCCTGTTCATAAAATTTGGTAATTTCATAGGGATTTGGGTTTTCTGAAACTTACCAATGCACACTAATTTAAGGACATCAATCTGTGAGAATCTTGGTCATGTAAACAAGTTCAAGTTTATAGTGTGGATTCTGTGGTTATGCAACTGGAGAGAAAGTGGGAAGGAGTGAAAGTAGTAATTGGAAAGTACCTACCTTATATGTATACCGTGTGCAGGCTTTTGTGAGAAGTAGTATGATGTCCCTAGGTATACTTTCTGAGGAATTAACTCTATGCAGTGGAATTATTTGCAAGTAGAGGTAATATTTGTGAAAGGATCTATTATTTTAGTTTTGAGGAATAATTTAGTCCAGTGGAGGAAGGGAATTGTAGTCAGTACTGACATTATTTAATCAGTCTGAGTAGCTAAACTAGAAGATAAAAGGGATGGCATTAAGGTTAGGTTTGTACAATGATTCTGATATGATCTGCATAGAAACATGAGAAGTGTATTTTAAAGGCTTTTCTGTAATGTCTTAATATATAGGCAGTGGTATAAGGGTGACTTATGTGCCCTGTCATTTAAAGTTCTTCATGACAAGCAGCGAGGACCACTGGTGTTTATGCGCATTTACTCTGGCACGATAAAACCCCAGTCGGCCATCTATAATATTAATGGAAACTGCACGTAAGTAGCAGCTTAGGTTATTTTGTAAAATTGTACTCATTTCTTTAAAAATTCTTTTACTAATATGAGTGATGGTTTTTACAGGGAGAGAATAAGCCGTCTTCTTTTGCCATTTGCTGACCAACATATAGAAATCCCTTCACTGACCGCTGGTAATATTGCTTTGACAGTTGGCCTTAAACATGTAAGTGACCAGATGATTTCTCCAGGAAATACTAACTTAAATGCTTAGTTGAAAGCAGATATTTTGATGTAACAAAACCCCACAATCCAAATAGCATCAGCAGGGGGATAATGAATATTGTAGGCCTAGTCATCAATGTGGCTGAATTTCATAATAGAAGGAAAGAAGATTACAGACGACTATAAACAGTATGGAGTATATTCACATGAAGTTCAACTTCGAGTAAAATAATATACTATTCATGGTTACATACCTGTGTTATAAGTTTAATAAATATTTTGTTACTGGGTTTTCTCCTGTTTTGATCACTGCTGACAGTTTAACCTCATAACTGATCCAGATAATAACTGAAGATATTTTGCTAATGAAGGAAGGCTCCTTCCTGAGAAAAATCATTCCTGAGGGCAAGGATTTTAGTGTCTTTTCTTCTGTATCTTTAGTCCCTAGATCAGTGCATCACACATAGTAGGCAGTTCATAACTTTAGTCAGGTAAATGGATGAAAATAGTTGATGTTGTATGTGTTTTTGCTAGGTTAAAACTATAAGGACATTTCATTTATATATGGATTAAATTGAATACATTTTCTCATTAAACTTTGGTATATATGGCATTTAGGATAAACAGTGTTACTTTGAACATTTTTTAATCTCTTTATGATTAATTGACGGATTCAAGATCTTTTAGTATAAAATTTCAACAGTCCAGGGCACTTGGTGGCTCAGTCAGTTAAGTATCTGCCTTTGGCTCGGGGTCATGATCCTATGGTCCTGTGATCGAGTTCCACATTGGGCTCCCTGCTTAGTGGGGAGTCTGCTTTTCCTTCTCCCCTTATCCCTTCCCCTTGCTCACACAGTTTCTCACAAATAAAAATCTTTAAAAAAAATTAATAAAATCACCATAGTCCAAATATTGGACTTTCAGCATTGAAAATATCCTCTGTCTACCCAAAGGCAGGAGCTCCATGTACATATTTGGAGTTACACAAATACGTTTGAACTATTGCTTCAGTAGGAATATCTTTTTTTTTTTAAGATTTTATTTATTTATTCATAGAGAGAGAGAGAGAGGCAGAGATAGGCAGAGGGAGAAGCAGGCTCCATGCAGGGAGCCTGATGTGGGACTCGATCCCGGGTCTTCAGGATCACACCCCAGGCTATAGGCGGCGCTAAATTGCTGCCCCACTGGGGCTACCCGGGAATATCTTTACAGAGAAGGAAACTGGCACCCAACTTTATAATATTTAAGTTTAAAAGTGAAATTAGTTTTATTTATTTATTTATTTTTGAAATTACAGTTTTAAATAACTAGTCTATTAAGCTATCAATTTTGCATAGAAAATTCTGGTTTATTGCTTATTTTAGTTAATAGAAGATTTTCTGTAAAAGAGCAAAAAATTTTTTATATTTTTTAAAGATTTTATTTATTTATTTATTTATGAGAGACACAGAGAGAGGCAGAGACGTAGGCAGAGTGAGAAGCAGGCTCCATGCAGGGAGTCCAATGTGGGACTTGATCCCAGGACCCCAGGATCATGACCTGAGCTGAAGGCAGATGCTCAACCGCTGAGCCACCCAGGCGTCCCCAAAATTTTTTTTTATTGGTGGGAAAACTCTAGAATGGACTTCTAGTAGAACTAGCCTATTTTGCGCCTGATTGAAAATTTAGGAAGGTACATTTGTTTTACCAGATGAATTTTGGATGTGTGTGTGTGTGTTTGTGTGTGTGTGTGTGTGTGTGTGTGTGTGTGTGTGTGAGAGAGAGAGAGAGAGAGAGAGAGAGAGAGAGAGAATGTTTTATTGTTAGGATTTATTATAGCAGTATTTTGGATAGAATTTTTACTCAAATTTACCTATGCAAAGTTACAGCGAGTTTTATGAATTTGTATCTATTTTAAGTTCTGTTGAAAGTGTCACATGAAAATTTTTCCTATTTGGTGAATCTTGGTGGAAGCTGAGTGCTTGCCAAGAGCTTGTTTTTTTTCCAAGGCATCTTGTTTGCTTACAGACAGCCACTGGAGACACCATTGCCTCATCCAAGTCCAGTGCATTAGCTGCAGCTCGTCGAGCCGAAAGGGAAGGAGAAAAGAAGCATAGGCAAAACAGTGAGGCAGAGAGACTTTTACTGGCTGGGGTGGAGATTCCAGAACCTGTTTTCTTCTGTACCATAGAGCCTCCATCAGTGGCTAAGCAGCCAGGTACAAATAGTTTTGATGTATTAATTAGTGCTCTGATAATTTAGATAGAAATAGTTATGTTATGTCCTCAAAAGGTTTCTTACATGATTGACTTCAATTTTATCAGAATTTATGGATAAGTATTACTTGTGATTAGTCTCATTTATTATTTAAGATGCTTTGATTTTTACAAACTTATTTATTTTCTTAGATATTGGTCATTTTTTGCATATCCTGTTTTTCCTTACTCTTGTTCTTGTGGTACTGTCTGTGGCATTCTAAGTAACCAGCGTCGGGACTGCCTTTCCAGTTATATTAATAGACAGTTACCAATTCATAACTGATTCATTTTCTCATCACCATTTATAAAATACTCCTTTTCCTTTCTTCCTCGCCCAACCTTTAGAACTCAGTGAAGATATTATATACTCTGGTTAATGTTGTTTGACCTTTTTGAGTGTTGTGTACTTCATTCTTTAGCCTGTTTCCTCAGAAATCTTCAATGGCTCCTCATTACTTACAGGACAAATTCAGACTCCGTAATATGGTATATAAATATGATTTCAGCTGTATTATTTCCACTTAGCTTTGGCTACATATTACAGAAGCCCCCCAAATAACAGATATTTTAATGAAAAGTTTATTTCTCTCCCTTGTAAAATATGACTTGAGTTGGTAGCCCAGGGTCAGAGGGTGGCTCTACCAGGTCACTAGGCACCCAGCCTCCAGTTTTTCCGCCTTGACTCTGAGTGCATAGCTCCAGTCCTTAGTTACAGCACAATGGCTACTAGAGCCTTTGGCATCACGGAGGAGTTCCTGACAGAGGAATGGAGTAAGGAGGAAGAAGATGTGTTCCTTTTAAGATTCCTTCTTGAGTACTGAGGAGGAAAGAAAGGGGAAGATCCTTAGCCAAATTAGGGGTTCTAGTTCCTCACCTGTGGAACTGGAGTTCACATGAAAGAAGTCTGAGTACTGGTCTAAGACAGCCCCCTAAATACTGGAGGAAGCTAGGTCTCTGCTTCTCTAGTTGGCAAAGAAATAGCAATTGAGCTAAAACAAGTGTAGCAGCAGTTTTCTTGTCACCTTAAAATGCCATGAGGTCAACTAAGTGTAGTCTTGACTTCAGTGGAGGAGGATCAGGCTGCCCATTTACATTAGATCCCCAAACAAGATATCTGAGTTTTTAAAAATATGTTTGAAAGTCACTTCAAACATAATGTGAGCACATGAATTCAAATTGTGGGATTGAGGTTAAGTTATACCGGCCAATTTTAAATTTCCTGCCTCAGCTTTAACTCCTTGAGGAGAAGTTTGGTGTCCAAACTAAGTCTCAGGGCATTAGCTTAGAGGTCCCAAGCCCCACTGGGCAGGGGATGTCCTAGAGTCCTCCTTAGACTTCTTTCAAACAGATCTCCATATTCTTTTTTCTGGCCCTCCATTGTATTTAACCCATAATCGTGTTTTTAGCACTTGACACCCTGTTTTCATCTCAATACACTCCTGAAGGATAGACTTATAAGTGTTTTTGAATGAATTTATTTATAATAAATTTTCTGTGTTTTCATTCCAAAAGCTACAGTGTCATAAGCATTCTTTCTTTCTTTGAAAATCTGAAGATAAGATACTATCTAAAATAATGCCCCTTAACTTTAACGTATATAATACATCTCTTGGAATTCTTGTTAAGTGCAGACTCTGATTCAGTCTGGAACCTGAGATTTGTATTTCTAACAGGCTCCCGGTGATGCCAGTGTTGCTGGTCCTTGGACCCAACTAGAGGATGTCAGGAGTCTAGAAGAGCACAATGCAATAGAAATACAATATCCACTTTAACCTAAAATTGTCTTAGAGCCACATAAAAAAAAAAGTTAAACAGGCAAATTTAATTTTGATAATGTATTTTATTTAACTCAGTATATCAAAAACAGTACCATTTCAACATGTAATCAATATAAAAAATTAATGAGATATTTTACTTTCTTTTCATATTAAGTCTTTGAAATCTAGTGTGTATTTTATACATAGAGCACATGTTAGTTTGTACTGGTAATATCCTAATGAGTCGGCTATTGACTACTACTTGGACAGTGCATGTCTAGAAGTTTGTATTCCTGCTTTATGTCCCTAAAACCACTTTAAATGTGTGGCTGATGAGGTTGGTTCTTTAATCCATTGCTCAACTCTTCAGCCACATTTTATGTCTGTGAAACTTCTAACATCTCTTGTAAAGAGGGACAATACGTTTAACAGTTAGTTGATTGTATTTAAGTGTCATATGACTTCAGAGCCCATATTTAATGTAAATAGTCTTATTTCCTCTTTGGGTGCGATAATTCAGCATAGAGTGATCATATTAGCATTTCTTTCTTCAGTTTAATTTAGTTTCCTTTTGTCAGTTTCTCAATATTGCTTCTGTTTCTGAAGGCATTTTGCTCTTTTGTCAGCTCCTAGATTGATCTATGGTTACTCTCCAAATTAAAACTCTTCAGTGGCTTCCCAGTGTCAATACAGACTCTTCACCTCAGCTTATGAAACCTTACGTGATATGATTCCTGGCACACCTTCACCACCTCATCTGATGCTGCTCCCCCTTTTACCCACTAATATCCAGCTACTCTGGCTATATCTTGTTATTTTTCCTTTAGCAGTACCAGTCCTAGTACAGCCATTTTCTGTGTCTGGTATTCTTTTTCTTCAAGATTTTTTGTGCCCTCATTTAAGTTATCTTGGAGAGGCCTTTTGCAAATCATTCATTCTCAGATAACCTCCTATCACTATCTTACTATCTTCTTTTGTTCTCTATAAAGCATTTATAACCATTTGAATTCTTTTTTTCAAAGTTTGTTTGCTAGTTCATTCTTTCCCCCTTTAATACTTATTTTACATTATCTAAAAAATGAATTGTAGAGATAACAGTTACCGTTTATGCTGTAGATTTGGATTATGCATTGAAATGCCTTCAGCGTGAAGATCCCAGTTTGAAAGTGAAGCTAGATCCTGACTCTGGACAGGTACACATTTTATTAATTAATCCCAGAAATCCTTCAATAATAGCATTTGTGTGTGTGTATGTGTGTGTGTTTAAATGCATAGATCTAAAAGAGTTTGATCTGGGCCTCTGAAAGAAAAAATTTCTCTCATAATACAAATTTCTGATTATAACATTGACTGTCAAGCTGTTAGTTTCTCAATACAATTACTTACACTTCACTTTTGTAAACCACTCTTTATCATTTCAGCTTTCCAGAAGACAACCTTTTGTGAAATTTTGAAATAAGGTTCAGCCCCAAGACAAAGCCTTGAGCCTTTAATGCTAAGGCTTATAGACTCAGCATACTAAAGGGAGGGTGCACAGGTGCTTTTAATGTCACTGTGGGGGAGCAGTGACTGCTTACACCCTAACAGAGTGGGAGGAAGTAAAGCTAAAGTAGGTGGTATGAAGTTTGTGTATGTTATATTACAGTAGAAGGACACATGTTCCATTCTTCATCTTTTAAGAAGGTAGGATAAAGTGTATATAGAATTTTAGAGAAAGTTTCTTTAAAAGATTATACATTTGTCTTTACAGATAAATTGATTTAGTTTATCTGAAAAACAGGGATATTTTATTTCCTAGATGCCAGCTAAATGAGGTAGTGATTTATTAATACTGTAGGATAAAACAAGCAGTTAGAATGAACTTTTTATTTGAAAGAATTTTCATTTAAAAAATGCCAGTATTGGGACACTGGGTTGCTTAGCGGTTGAGTGTCTGCCTTTGGCTCAGGGTGGGATCGAGTCCCACATTGGGCTCCCTGCAGGGAGCCTGCTCTCCCTCTGCCTGTGTCTCTGCCTCTCTCTGTGTGTCTCTCATGAATAAAGAAATAAAAATAATTAAAAAGTTAAAAATGCCAATATATATATTTTTAATAGCAAATAACACACAAGGATACAAAGTACAAAATTAAAGTTTCCCTTTTTTTTTTCATTGTCTTTTACACAGGTAACCACTGAAAATGTGAATAACTTTTCACACTACCAGATGTCTTATGCTGTGTTATAAAGCACAATATATTTTTGCCATATATATTCACATATATATATATATGTATGTATGTATGGGATGTATATACACACACAAATATTCTAACAAGTCATTCTATTTGTATTGTTCTACAACTTATTTTTCACAAATAATCCAATTCTATAACTTTATATTAAAGTACAAAAATTAAAAAAAAATAAAGTACAAAAATTTTACACAAAATAATCCTCTCCTCTTTTTTTTGTTCCTTACATTTATAGTTCTAGTGTAGCAAAAAGATAAAATTAGAACCAGCTAAAGGAAGAGACAAATAGGGCAAAATCTGAGAGGATGCTAAATGTGTATCTTCATTCATCTTCAGGGATGTGTTAACCCTCCCCCCCCCCCTTTTTTTAAGATTTTATTTATTTATTCATGAGAGACAGAAAGAGAGAGAGAGAGGCAGAGACACAGGCAGAGGGAGAAGCAGGCTCCATGCAGGGAGCCGGATGCGGGACTTTATCCCGGGTCTCCAGGATCAGGCCCTGGACTGAAGGCGGCGCTAAACCGCTGGGCCACCCAGGCTGCCCAACCCTTTTTTTAAATTTTTTTTTTAAGTTTTTTTATTTATTTATGATAGTCACAGAGAGAGAGAGAGGCAGAGACACAGGCAGAGGGAGAAGCAGGCTCCATGCACCGGGAGCCCGACGTGGGATTCGATCCCGGGTCTCCAGGATCGCGCCCTGGGCCAAAGACAGGCGCCAAACCGCTGCGCCACCCAGGGATCCCCCAACCCTTTTTTTAGAGTATTGTCAGCCAGGGAGGCTCACCCCAGCCCTGTTCAGAGTTCTTATTAAGGCTTGATTACACACTGCTCATGTGGTTGACCTGTAGTTCCTGTAGTTACTAGTACATCCTCTAAGTTGAGACTATACTACCTTTACTCTCCAGGTTAGAACTGATAGGGGCTGTTCCAAAGCTTACATCATAAATCACATCATTAAACAATCTGGTAGGCATAGCCCCCAGACAAGCAAAGACACTTTTGTCGGGCAGCATCCTGGCCTAGAGATAATGTACCAGTAGCTGAGAGAAAGGACCATATCTCTCTTTGGGTGAGGTTAATTCTATACTACATAGGTGGCATAGGAGTTAGATTGAGCAGCTATGGGTCCCTTGCACTACACTGTTTCTCATACACAAAGATATTCTTAAGGAATAACCATTGTTCTGCAGAAATTTACTAAAAAGCATGTCTTAATTGGTTTTGATACAGATTTGACTTGTTCTAACAAAGGCCCTAAATATAACACTGGTTCAAAGAAGATAAAAGTCAGTTTCTTTGTTGAATAAAGGTCCAAGCTAGCCTGAAAGATTTGACTGCTCACAAAACTGTAAGGTGCCCAGGATGATTGGAAAATGCCAATGTTGTTGGGAATGTTTGGGGAAAAGGTTATACCATCCTCCAGTTAACAAGATGCTGCCCTCATCTGCATTTCTCAAGGCAGTTTCCTGCATCTTTAGTAAGAAAAGGACTTGGGATGCCTGGGTGGCCTGAGCATCTGCCTTTGGCCCAGCGGTGTGATCCTGGGGGTCCTGGAATGGAGTCCCTCATCAAGCCTGCTTCTCCCTCTGCCTACGTCTCTGCTTCTCTCTCTGTCTCTCTCATGAATAAATGAATAAAACCTTTAAAAAAAGAAAAGAAAAGGGCTTTATTATTTCTTTAAAGGGATAAGCCAGAGGTTGCCTGCATCAGTTATACTCATGTCACATTGACTAGAACCAAGTTATATGGTTGGGGAGTATAGTACTAGCTAGATCCTACTTGCCTGATTAAGCTACCATGTAATAAGGACAGAATAGCCTACCAATTCACTTTTTATTTTTTAATTTTTTAAAAAGATTTTGTTTATTCATGAGAGACAGAGAGAGGCAGAGACAGGTAAAGGGAGAAGCAGGCTCCATGCAGGGAGCCTGATGTGGGACTTGATCCCGGATTTCCAGGATCACGCCCTGGGCCGAAGTCGGTGCTAAACTGCTGAGTACCCAGGCTCCCCCCAATTCACTTTTTAATTTTTTTTGTTTCTTTTTTTAACTGAGATTTATGCCCAACATGGGACTTGAACTCACAACTCTGAGATCAAGAGTTGCATGCTCTATTGACTAAGCCAGCCAGGTACCCAGCAATTAATTCCCTTTTAATTGACTTCTTCCACTCAGAAAAGTTACACTGTTTTGAGGAGGAGCCAAGAAAATTTGCAAAGAAACTCAGTTTGTAATTAACAAAAAATAGCATTGATATCATACCTTTATATAGTATTCTATGATAAACATAATTTTTTGATTTTGGTTTTATTTTCTTTCTCTTTTAACCAGACCATCCTATGTGGTATGGGGGAGTTACATATTGAGATTATTCATGACCGAATCAAGAGGGAATATGGACTGGAAACCTATTTAGGGCCTCTCCAGGTAGCATACCGAGAAACCATCCTAAATGTAGTTCATGCCACAGGTAAAAAATAAAATATTTAGACTTTGCTATTTCTCTCTCTCTCTCTCTCTCTCTCTCTCTGTCTGTCTGTCTTTCCAGGATCTGTTTTCTGAAAGCAGGGTTCACATTCACTGGTATCTTGCATCCTTGGGGATAGGTTTTATATGTTTTCTTGTTTTTTTAAGATTTTGTTCTGCTTTGTTTTAACCCAGCTCTCTTCCTTTACCACTCATTACATCAAGCAAATGATAAGCCTCATCAAAGAAGTACGCTTTTCAGTGGTGGTCTTGGGGTAGAATAAGCCCTTGGTGCAGGTGGCTCATGCTAATCCTCAATACCAGAATGAGTATAAGAACTTGAAGTCCCTGTGTTATTTTTACTCTACCACTAGAGTGGAAAATAATATCATCTGTTGCTGGTGATGTTCCTGAGAAAGTACAGTTTTATATTTCTGTCCCAAAATTTAAGAATTCTTGTTTTTTCTGTATATGGTAGTTGCAGTTTGGTTTTCTTAAGCACAGAAACATGACAGTCATACTTGCTCATCCCCCAAGGAGTAAACCTGGATAGATTTCTGGAAAACAAAACAAAACAAAACAAAAAACAATAAAGAAAAGATACTAAGGATAACTAAGAAAAAAAAAGGATAACTAGATGGAAGTCAGTGATTTATTAAAAAAAAAAAGTCTGGGTGATTACTTTTCAGTAAAACTTGAAAAATTAAACAAGCAGAATGTAGGAGCAAATGATCTAAGGATTTCTGTTTTTGGATTTTTTATTTGGAAAAACTAAAATGCTGGAAAAATATAAATCTTTAGTTTTAAAATTTTCTTAGTGTGTACAAGTTGGGGATTAGAGGCAGAGAGAACTTTTTTTTTTAAAAAAGATTTTATTTATTTATTCATGATAGTCACACAGAGAGAGAGAGAGAGAGGCAGAGACATAGGCAGAGGGAGAAGCAGGCTCCATGCAGGGAGCCCGACGTGGGATTCGATCCCGGGTCTCCAGGATCGTGCCCTGGGCCAAAGGTAGGCGCCAAACCGCTGCGCCACCCAGGGACCCCCGAGAACTTTTTTTTTTTAATTTTTTTAATTTGAGTTCAATTTGCCAACATATAGCATAACACCCAGTGTTCATCCCACCAAGTGCCCCCCTCAATGCCCATCACCCAGTCACCCCAACCCCCCGCCCACCTCTGCTTCCACTACCCCTTGTTTATTTCCCAGAGTTAGGTGTCTGTCATGTTTTGTCACCCTCACTGCTATTTTCACTCATTTTTGAGAGCGAATCTTAAGCAGACTCCACGAGCAGCACAAAGTCCGACGCACAGCTTGATCTCATGATTGATTCTGAGATCATGACCTGACCCAAAATCAAGAGTCAGCTCCTTAGCCTACTAAGCCACCTATATGCCCCTAAATAACATCTTTTTAATTAATGTCTGAACTGGTTAGAACGTGATAGAAGTTTCCAGAAGTCAGAAAGGAACCTGGAGCAGGAATCTCAGAAAAGAAGTCTGCACCAAAGCTACTGGCTATTCTGGAGGTATCTGTAGTAGTTATCTCTCACCTAATACTTGAAGGTCACATGATCATGCAAATAATGAACTACTAAGAAAGTCTCCATAAAAGAAGAGGACAAGGAAACTTGTTTATATCTGGGGGCAAGAGTCAAAATTTCTAAGAATTTGTAATCATTGGCTTCTGATAGGGTTTTTAGTCTAAATTCATAAGAACCAGGTTTTGGAAGAAAAACTCTAGAGAAGAATTTAATATAAAGTGCTAATGGAAGGGGCAGCCCGGGTGGCTCAGCGTTTTAGCGCCTCCTCAACCCAGGGCCTGATCCGGGAGACCCGGGATCGAGTCCCACATCAGGCTCCCTGCATGGAGCCTGCTTCTCCCTCTGCCTGTGTCTCTGCCTCTCTCTCTCCCCCTCTGTGTCTGTCATGAATAAATAAATAAAATCTTTAAAAAAAAAAAAGTGCTAATGGAGGGCAGCCTTGTGTGGCTCAGCAGTTTAGCACCACGTTGGCCCAGGGCATGATCCTGTAGACCTGGGATCGAGTCCCGTGTCGGGCTCCCTGCATGGAACCTGCTTCTTTCTCTGCCTGTGTCTCTGCCTCTCTCTCTCTCTCTCTCCTCTCTGTGTCTCTCATAAATAAATAAAATCTTTAAAAAATAATAAAGTGCTAATGGAAAAAACAAACATAGATAAATGTATCTTTAACCCATTCTGCAAAGAAAATCCCACAGATAAAGGAGTATTAATTTACAATTCAAAAAATATTTTAAAATTGTAATATCATGAGAAAAGGCAGTGAGCATAAAAGGAGTAGAAACAGCATCAGTCAGAACAGTTAAGGCTTCTCATATTGGAATTATTGGATGCAGAATATAAAAGAAGGATATTTATTTTTGAAGAAATAAAAGATAAAACCTATTAGGAACAAGAGACCATTGGAATAAGCAATAGAACATTATGGTGTATTAAAAAGAAAGGAAATGCTCAATATTGGTGGGGGCATGTCATAAGCATACAGGAACCAACTTGAAGAGGCTCTACTGGCTATATTTGAATGAACTAGAATAGCATTTAAGTATAATAGGTATAGGCCATTGAGACAAAGTAGGGATTCGTGAGTCCCCTACTAAAAATAGATAAACAAATGGGAAAGAAGAGGGGATTCTTCCTTAGAGTGGAATGCCAACTGCTGACTCTTAGATGCTAAGACAGGAAGGTTGGAGTGGGAAAACAGTCATTTTGTAGTTACTGTGATTGTTTGATATTGGGTATCTTGTTGAGGAGCACCATATCTTTGCATAGTCTTTGAAGTGTCTCCGCACAGAGTGCTTATTAGTTGCAAGGTAAAAAAACCACTAAGTAGATGCTGTAGTAATATGATGATGCATCACTAATGAGGGGCAGGTTGGCATTGTGTACATCCACAAAATTTTTAAAAGTTAAAAGTTACAACAAAAGTTAAAAGACCAAGTTAAATGGACAACCATAGTATTCATTGATAAGACTAAATATTGTGAAGCCACCAAGTTTACCCAAAGAAGTGTATCAGACATGAGTATATATTATAAAACCACAGTGGTTATGATACTAATTAAGCTAGAAACAGACAAATAGGCCATTGGAACACACCAGAAAACCTAGAAGTAGACTACTACATATTTGGAAATTTAATTTATGCCAGAGTGTTATTACAGTCGGCAAAGGATGGATTGACTATTCAATAAATGGGCCTGTGATAATTATCCATATGGAAAGAGATTTAATTAGATTCCTACCCCATGCCATAACCAAAAATCACTTCCAACTGAATCAGAAAACTTAAACGTGGGGCTGCCTGGCTGGCTCAGCCAATAAAGTGTAGGACTCTTGAGTTCAGGATTGTGAATTTGAGCCCCACATCAGGTGTAGAGATTATTTAAGAAATAAAATATTTAAAAAAACCTAAACATGAAAGAAGAATTGCAAATTTTCCTTATATAGCACAAAAGTATAAAGAAAAAGAAATGCTAATATATGAAAAACAGCAAACCCCAAAATTTTATGAAAGGCAGACCTTCAAATTTTGAAAGAAAGTACAGAATTATCTTACTAACCAGGTTAGGGTAGGACTTCCATAACACCAGAAGTTGAAACTATGAACCCATCTATATGCTGCCTACAAGAGGCTCATTTCAGACAGACACCTGCAGATTGAAAGTGAATGGAGGGTCCCAGGTGGCTCAGTCAAGTGTCTGCTTTGGTGCCTTTGGCTCAGGCATGATCCCAAAGTCCTGGGATCAAGCCCTGCATTGGGCTCCCTAGTCAGCGGGGAGCCTGCTTCTCCCTCTGCCCTTCCCACCCGCTTGTTCTCTCTCTCTCTCTCTCTCTCTCTCTCTCTTTCTCTCTCAATAAACAAAAAAACAAAACCTTAAAAAAAAATGTGAAGCAAAAGAAGTTGCAGGGTACATAATAGAATAGTGAATTCAAAACAACAGAGTGAACTGTATTGTTGAGGAATACATGCATATGAGGTATGACTGGAAAATCAGGGATGATTGTATCATGATAGTGGTTGCTTTGGAAGGCTTGTAGGTTTCTGGTAATGGTCTATTTCTCAGTAGTTCTAGGTTTCATAAATATTCCCTTTATTTTTAGCTTATGCATATATTTATATATTTTTAAGTAAAAAAATATTTCATAATATAAAAATAAGCTTAAAAAGGAATTATAAAGAAGAATTGTAGGTTATAATTCTTAGTTTGAATTTGGGCTATGTGTCGTTCTTTTACACGGTCCCTCACGTAAATACAGCATAGTTTTGGTGACAGCTATAGGTTGTTAGCAAATGAGAGATACTTTAAAAAAAAGTCACTAGTTTTGAGAAAAATCATAATGCATAAAACATTACTGGAAGGGGGGACCCCTGGGTGGCTCAGCGGTTTAGCGGCTTGCCTTTGGCTGGGGGCATGATCCTGGAGTCCTGGGATCGAGTCCCGCATCAGGCTCCCTGCATGGAGCCTGCTTCTCCCTCTGCCTGTGTTTCTGTCTCTCTGTCTCTGTCTCTCTCTCTGTGTCTCGTGAATGAATAAATCTTAAACATTACTGGAAGAATATGGAATTTAGCAGTTTGTGGGGTGAGAGGGTTAAAAAAGCCTTTTAATTTTCATTAGATAACCTTTTGTACTCTAAATGTTTTACTGTTAAATAAGTTTTGCAATTAAAAGAATTTCAGTCATGTAAGATATTTCAGAAAGTTTAAATGTGTCATCTGCATATCAGAACTCTGAGATCTTCTACCATAACACATCTTAACACTGAAGTAACATTAATGAGTGATTCATAGCTGGCTTTTAACATTGGTAAAGACGGAATCAAATGCTTTCTTGGTAGAACTTTTTACTCTGACCTGTTCATATTGTATCTAGTGCCACTGTAATGTTTTCTCCCACTTTATCTTCTTTAAGACCTTGTACTTGTTGATGATAATTTTGTGAGTTGTGGCACCTTGATATCTTTTCTGGAACAAATCTGTGAGGTACTATAATCCATTTATTTATAGATACCTTAGATAGAACTTTAGGAGACAAACGACATCTTGTGACTGTAGAACTGGAAGTAAAACCAAATGAAACGTGCTGTGTTACGCCAGTCCTCAAGTATGCTGGATGTGTTAGTGAAGACCTTCCAGAGGCCTCCCAAGAGGCCATTGAAAATGGAATTCACAGTGCGTGCCTCCAAGGTAAGATACTCAAAGAAGAGTAAGCTTTAGTATCACAATCAACCCCTGAGTCGCTCCTAGTATTATAGATTATTTCAGTTTTTCTTTCTAGCGTTGATAGTGTTTTCTTCTTCCCATTATATGTATGTTACACCCTTTCCATTGTCCCACAGTCCTTGGATATTCTGTTCTGGGTGGGGTTTTTTTGGGGTTTTGTTTGATTGTTTTTTCCCCAGTCTTCACTTTGCTTTTCACTTTTAGAGGTTTCTATGGATACAGTTTCTAACTCAGCACTTTGTTCAGCTGTATCCAGTCTACTTAAAGCCCATCAAAAACATTCTTCATTTATTTTACTGTTTTTTATTTCAAGCATTTGTTTTGGTTCTTTCTTAGGACTTCTCTCTTTCTCTGCTTCAATTGCCCATCTCTCTGTTCTGCATGTGGTCTACCTTATTCAAGTCCGTAGTAAATCATGTGACATGATCCTTCCAATATCTTTACCATGTCTGGTTCTGATGTTTGTTCTGTATTCATATTGTGCTTTTGCTTTTTAATATGCCTTGTAATTTTTTCTTGGTGGCCAGAAATGATGTACTGTTTAAAAGGAACTGCTGTAAACACACCTTTAGTAATGTGGAGGTTGGTGTGGGGGAAGGGAAGCATTCTCTCATCCTAGGATTAGGACTCAGTCTTAACAGTGAGCCCATGCCTCAGGACTGGGAACTGCACGTGTTTCCCCCAACCCCACGCCCCCACCCCTACCCTGGTTGGATAGGATGGCTAGGATGGCTAGGGTAGACTGGAGTTTGGTACTTCGCCCAAGTCAGTTAGGTCCTGCTGATGCCCCTGCTGGTTAGGCTCTAGTTAACTAGTTCCTGACAGCAAGCCTTTGTAAGAACAGAGTGCTCTGGAGTATTTTAGTGATTTCCTTTCCCTTCTGTCGGCAGCATAAGGAGCTTTTTCTCTGACACTTTTGGTAAGAATCTGCTTGAGCTCCTGGAGGTAAATCTCACTGAGTTGTGGGGGTCCCCCTTATGATTTATGACTGGGTACCCCTGGAGTTTTTAACTCCTAAACTTGTCCACACTGAGCTTCCAGCAGTTCATCAATTATAGTTGAGGTTTTCCTACCCTGGCAGTGGTTCCTGGGCTAGTGAGCCTCTACTCCAGGAAGCTGTGACTTCTGTGTTTACTTGCCTCTCGAGTTTTTTGGGGCAGTGCTTTTGTCCTTTGTCATCTCTCTTATGGATTCCAGGAGAGTTGATTTTTCAGTCTGTTCTGCTTCTTTCTTGCTGGAACAGAGTAACAACTTCTGAACTGCCTATGTGAACTGGAAACCAGAAGTCCCCTCCCTGTCTTTACTCCTCTTTGCATACTGAGTGCTAACCCAGTTGTTTTTTCCCCTTGCCTAGGACCGTTGCTTGGATCCCCAATTCAAGATGTGGCAATTACTTTACATTCCCTGATAATCCATCCTGGTACCTCCACAACTATGATTTCCGCCTGTGTCTCAAGATGTGTACAAAAGGTATAGAACTGTCCTGTGTTATCCTTTTTGCTTTACGGTGACTCTCCTGACAGCGGTGCACCATTGCTCCACAGGCAGCTGTGCTTCCTCATGGCCTTAAACTTGTATTGTTGCCTTTCGAGCCTTAGAGTCAATAAGAGTTTTTTTTACCTTAGAGAGTCTTTGATTTCTTAATCACCAGGGTTATTTTTGAAAGAGGACCTAGGAAATTACTCTTTAACATCATGGCCAGGAAATATCTTCTGATTTTGACAAAGAGGCAGGTTTCCTTAACTGGCATTTCTGGTTTCCCCATCCCAGACACACAGGTGTTAGAGGTAAGCTTGGTGGTTGGAGTAGGGGACGTTTTGGGGGTCACCCGGGCCCAAGATGAACTATAATCTAAAGGACATTAAAGATGTAATGTTGGTTCCAATTCTGGAGTTCCTGTTTGAGTAAGATTACCTTAGTCAAGGATCATTGAAATCAGAGAAGTCTCATTGAAAAAAAAAAAAAAGATTCAGGATAAGCACCTAACCTTATAAAAGTATCAAGCAATCTGGTCTTCTTGGAATGGTTACCTCCCTACATGTCCTTGAGCATCTTGCCTCAGTAAGCTACCAGAGCTGAATTAAGCTAAATGGTGACTCCATGCATTCCTCTCAGAGTGGGAAGACTATAGTTTTGTAGGTGACTGATGTGCATTAAAACACTTGCTTTTTAAAACAATTTTCTAAAATTTTAGACTGTGTTTGAGACTTCATTTTCTACAGCTCATTTGAATCCACAATTATAAAAAGTTGATGTAAATACCCTAAGTCCCTGACCTAGGAAGGTGGAATTTATTTATTTATTTATTTATTTATTTATTTAGGTGGAATTTAATGTCTTTCTCTCTCTTTTTTAAAGATCTTATTTTTTTTATTTGAGAGAGAATGCAAGAATGAGCAAGGGGGAGGAACAGAGGCAGAGGGAGAAGCCGACTCCCCGCTGAGCAGGGAGCCCAGTGTGGGACTTGATTACAGAACCCTGGGATCATGACCTGAGCTGAAGGCAGACGCTTCACTAACTGACCCACCAAGGTGCCCCTTAATGTCTCTGTGTGTTCAGGTGCGTAGTATTTTTTTTTTTTTTTAAGATTTTTGTTTATTTATTCACAAGAGACACAGAGAGGGGCAGAGACATAGCAGAGGGAGAAGCAGGCTCCGTGCAGGGAGCCTGACGTTGGACTCGATCCCAGGACCCCAGGGTCACGCCCTGAGCCAAAGGCAAACGGTTAACTGATGAGCCACCCAGGCGTTCCCATTCTCCCCCCGCCCCACACCCCTTTTATTTTAAAGTAGGCTCTGTCCCCAGTGTGGAGATCAAGTTCTGAGCTGAGTACCAGAGTCTGACATTTAATTGACTGAGCCACCCAGGCACCCCTCAAGTCCATACTTCCTAAAATTTTTTTATTTAAAAAAACTGTACATTCTAAAAGCATTATTTAAATATTGTTTGCTTGGGAGCACCTGGTGGCTCAGTCGGTTGAGTGTCTGCCTTTGGTTCAGGTCATGATCTCAGGGTGCTGAGATCAAGCCCCGTATCGGGCTCCCTGCTCATCAGGGAGTCTGCTGCTCTCTCCCTCTCCCTCTGCCCCTTCCCACTGCTTGTTCTTTCTTTCTCAAATAAATCTTTATTTTTTTTTAATTTTTATTTATTTTTGATAGTCACACAGAGAGAGAGAGAGAGGCAGAGACACAGGCAGAGGGAGAAAGCAGGCTCCATGCACCGGGAGCCCGACGTGGGATTCGATCCCGGGTCTCCAGGATTGCGCCCTGGGCCAAAGGCAGGCGCTAAACCGCTGCGCCACCCAGGGATCCCTGGAATACAGGAGGAACTAGTAGGGAGGAGACAGTCCGGGACAGAGAAGGGCCTGGGTCTGAACGAGTTTATTGGCAATGGGAATGGAAATCTTACAGCTACTTGGGGAAAGGAAAGTCAGAGATGCACGTCCAGGTGAACTGAAGATTATGAAGTCATCCACAGAGTAGGAAAGCACACAGTAATGTTTGTGAAAGGAAATGATGAGGTCATCTTGGGTTGCTCTGTGATATTTGGACACTGTCGCAAAGCAGGCCAGTGGTGTAAAGGCCGGAGCACTCAGACCGTAGTCTGTGGAGTATAAAGGTTTTTGAGGAAGCTACATAGATGTTTTTGAAACTTAAAAGTATGGTTTTGCCAAGAGAAAGAATGTGAAGAGGCAGCTGAGGACAGATGCTGTGTATCTTAGTAACACAGCATTCAGTCCTTTCCTTGTTGCAGCGCTTTTCCTTTTAATTCTTACCTTGTTCCACTCCGTTTTGTGCCAAAAGATATTACGTGAAGTGGCAACAAAGCTCTGGATAAGAATTGCAAAAAGAGAGGATTTATAGTTGTTTGCTGATTGATGGTCATTATTTTTTAGTAATATTTTCATTCAAGGACTGTTAGATGTATTTTCTATAGTCGAGCCCTTTCAGTTGGCTAGAGTTTAAAGCTATGAAGAACTGAACTGATTGTTTTACTATGTGTATGTGTTTTGAAATTTTGATAGAGAATATATTCTTGGTTTTACTCATGCGTCCCATTTTTTTAAAAAAAGATTTTATTTATTTATTCATGAGAGACAGAGAGAGGCAGAGACCCAGGCAGAGGGAGAAGCAGGCTCCATGCAGGGAGCCTGATGTGGGACTTGATCCCGTGTCTCCAGGATCACACCCTGGGCTGAAGGCAGACGCTAAACTGCTGAGCCACCCGGACTGCCCATGTGTCCCATTTTTAATGGTTGGGTGAAGGGCAGGAAAGGAGGTGGTGACAAATCAGGGACGAAAGGGTTCAAGGCCCCAGAACCTTTACTTAACAATACAGGCAGTGATCATGCCCCCCTCTAAGGCCTTAGTATTAAGAAGTAAGGGGTGGGTGGTAGAGTGGGAACAGAACGATGAACAGCTAACTGTAAAGGTGAGGGCACATTCTAGAGCCCCAGCTCCCGTATTTAGTTGCCATTGCTTAGTCTCAGTTTATAACATCCCACCTAATAACCAGAGGCTTAGAATTTATAGGAAATGGTTTTGTTACTGTTGAACTCTTGGCAGGCTCCAGCAGTAAGGCAGCTTTTAAAATCAGACCCACTGGTACTTACGGTCTTTGCACTGTCCTCCAAAACCCATTACCCAGTTTGTCTGATGTAGCGATAGTCTGAGAGACTGTGTCTCCTGGGGACCCTAGTGCCTTCATTTTATCTAGTAACTACTTGCCCTGTGTGCCTCAGTGGCTTTTTTCAGTTTATACATTATTTATGTGCTTTTTCTTCTTGCCTTTTGTTGAGAATGTTTGTGTAGTACATTTCTTGATTTGCCCTGACACAGACTATGAGTGGAAAGGGAAAACCATTTTCTTTCATTTTATCTCTGGCCATGTGTTCATAGGTGCTCCATATAACCAAGCTTTACTACGCACCCCCTGGCCATGTACCTGGTTTATTATCTTTGTAGACAGTGAAAGCAGGCTTATTATGTCTCATTGCTAGAGCTCTAGGCTTACAAGGACAGGCAAAATTTGTGTTCAAGTGGTTATGAATCTAATGGGAATTTGATTTCTAATTTTAGGAAGGGAGTTTAACACTCTATTAACTTCTTTAGGCTCTGAAGAAAGCTGATAAGCAAGTGTTAGAGCCCCTGATGAATCTCGAGGTGACGGTGCCTGGAGATTACCTCAGCCCTGTGCTAGCAGATCTGGCACAAAGAAGAGGGACCATTCAGGAAATCCAGACTCGTCAGGAAAATAAAATTGTTATTGGATTTGTGCCTTTAGCAGAAATTATGGTAGGTACTCAATGACTGTGAAGTATATATTCTTTTTAATACTGGGGACATTTATGCTGAAAAGTAGACAGTCAAAAAAAAAAAAAGTAGACAGTCGGGGCTTTAATTTATAGGAAGCAGGTTAGTTAGGTCTTTGGATTTAAATCGTTAAGGAAATCCAAGGGGTAACATCAGCTTGGTGGGATCATTTCCATTCTCCTCAAAGATTGAGCTATGCCATATCAAATTGTGGCGCCAGCCTAAATGGCCATTTTTCCCCCTTCCCAGCACTTACCTTATGGAGTGTGGAGACCAGGGAATACACCTGAAGCTTACCCACACTAGATACCTGCCCTCCACAGTATCTCCCTATCAAATAGTTCCTGCCACAGTGGTTAAGTCACATGAGTAACATCATCACCTTTCCCTCTTCCTGCTGGTTAAATTTGACAACAGTCTTAAATTTTATTTTGATTAGGGTTATTCAACTGTGCTTCGAACGCTTACATCGGGCTCAGCTACTTTTGCCTTAGAACTATCTAATTATCAAGCTATGAATCCTCAAGACCAATCTATACTGCTCAGCCGGCGAAGTGGCTTGACCCAAGTGCTTTAGGTCTTAGGTGCTCTCGAGTGTCTCCCCAACCTACTGCATTTTCTTAAGAATTTTTATTGTTTTACTAAACTGACAGGGGCACTGGAGCTGCACATTCTGCTCTGTATAATAAACTTGGATGTTGAAAGTTGTGTACATGAACTATATTATGTATCTATAAAGTTATCACTATGGAATATGTTCAGTGTCACCACGATATTTTTTTTGAGCTTCTTTAACAAGATGCCAGTCTTCTATATGTAATATATAATGAGATAGAGGTTCAATCTTTAAAAAGATATTTTATTTGAAAACTATACGAAATTTTAATTTCCATGATTTCATAATCAAGTTGATTGTAGCGTTTTCTTTGTTTAGGCTCATTTTTTGTTTTGTATTCAGTGGTTACAATATCCAGTATAAAGAGGTTCTGCAGCTATTCCCCGGCTAGAACAGATAAAGTATGAATTAGAGAGGTTTTAGATTGATGTTATAGTTTAAATCAGAATCACTAGCTGTAGCATTCATTAATGAAAAAAGACTGTTAAAGTGGTCAAGATGGAATTAAAAGTTACACCAAGGTCAATATCAGGGCACTTAGGTTATGATAGGGTTGTGGCACCAAGCCCCTCATCAGGCTCCCTGCTTCTCCCTTGCTCTTTCTCAAATCAAATATCTCTTTTCCATATAGGAATAATTCCGTTTCCTACAGAAATTACTGATTAATTATAAACTGGAAACTGTTAGAAGCTATACATTTCTGTTTATAGAGGGAAAAAAAAAATCACCCTGGACTTCGTGTCCTTGCTTTGAAAAGGTCTTACCTGACCATTCTGCAGCGGTGAACTGTCAGTCTCTTGTAGGCATCCTCTAGGTCTTTGACATCGCTGTGACTCCACAGTCTCTCACCAACAGCACTTGCCCGGGGCCTGAAAGGTAAACCAACATGTCCACCAAAGCAATTTAAATGCATGTTTTCTTAAGTATCTAAAGTATATGCTTGGGGATATTTCTAGTGCTTCCCCACTTGGAGAAGAAGAAATAAGGCACTTTAATTTTTAATTCACACATTACCACTTAAATTCCATACCATAATCTTGGAGTGAGGTTAGTTGCATCCACATATTCTCCCCACAGACAAGCTTCTCCACCCATGACAAGTTTTTTCTGTTCTGGAGAACCTACATTAAAATCATTGAATTGATATGAAGTAAGCTGCTCAAAGCTTTTACACAGAGGCAATAACTGGTTTCTCATTTCTACCTTTATTGTAGGCCAACACTTCTGGGGTCCACAGAACTGTGGGAGGTATTCATGGTTTTTCACACAAAAAGGGTAGAAAACTTTATCCCCACAGTGCTTGTTAGCATATTTTTACTTTATTTCAATTTTATGAAAACTTCATCGGGTACTTGTGACAATTAACTCCTGTGATGCACCTTCTGATTCTCAGAAAATACCTTCTGCAGAAAGGTCAATTCCTAACAGACCTACAGTTTTGAAGTATTTTTTAACACTAAAATCCTTCTTCTTGAAGGAAATTTTGTGAAATCTGGTGTAGAAAGCTGGACAAAGTAGAGCTGGTCTTAAGGACAGGGATCTGAGAGCCTAAGGCTCCACCACTCTGTTCCTCTTACTGTCGCCTCCCCGAAGGATGCCTAGCTCCTCAGGATCCAAAAACGACAGAGCCTGAAACCCATGGAAGTAGACTATAGCCTTCCTTCAGTGTCTTAGAGTGGAAAGGCCCATTGAAGGAGATACAAGGTTAATGCAATCCAGAGTCTTTGAACTGTAGGGTGAGTAACAATGCTCATTGGTGGAAACAGATACTTTTACAAGGTTTAAAATGAACAGGGCCTTCTCTTTTTCTTAAGAAATCAAGAATCAAACATAAAAGTGAGGATAGTGAGTTGGTAATATCCTAGTGGTAAATTAAGGAAGAAAACTAGCCAATCAACGTAATGATGGGTATGTCACTTACCACTAAAATCAAGAGGGTCCACTTTATAGTAACCTTTCCAGTCTTGTCCATAACTAATCCAGTCTAAGTACCAAGGAGCAGAAAGGATGACAGGGAAGCCAGCGGCTGTGACTTGAGCTTGTTCCTCACTATACGATTGAAGTTTCCATACTTGAACAATCGTGCCTGGCTGAAGCTATTAAAGTTACAAAGGATATGTACAATTAGGGCCAACAATTACAAATGAAAGTTGAAGCCATCGTAGTTATTAGGAAAGTAACCACCTAAGATTCTTGAAAAAAAAAAAATTTCCCCTTGAGTTAGTACTAAATACAATGGTTGTAGGGCCTTGAAATTAGAAGTTTCATCAACCCTAAGGTTGGAGATTTCACCTCTGCCTATACAGGATGCCAGTTAGGTATAATGGACTAAGGCTTTCTTCCCATCTGTACACTACTGTTATCCTTACTTGGAAGACGTCGCTAACCCTTCTCTAAGGGTAATACTAGTAACTAGATTTGAAACGGTCAGTTACCCAAAGGAAAGTAAAAAGTGTTTGTTGACAATTTAAAACTACCTTTGTAGCTATAAAGACTCCTTCATTCTTGTTTGTTCTGCCCTTGTGAGAAAAGAATTTACTTCAAAGTACTCTGATTTGTGACATAATGTGATGGTGGGGGGAGGAACGTGGGAGAGGGTGGAAGGGAGAGATGGAAAGGTGGCACTAATCTCAGTCTACAGAAAGTTTAAAAGGTAAGCCAACTTCCCTGTAATGTTGAGGACAACTTTGATTGCTTCCTTCCAAGATGTTAATAAGTCTCTCTTATTATCAGAATCAAAAGCAGTCTTCATACTTCTCACCTTCACATGATCATCAAAAACTTCTTGCCAGACTATGGCTCCCTTGTTTACAGTTGAAGCAATATCCAAAACCCTACCGTTGGGGGGGAAAAAAGTTATTTCAGAGCACATGCTTAACAACGTTTAAAGTTTTCTGTAAAGGATTGTCATGTTGGCAGGCCTTTCATTGCAGCACAGCTTTATAGCAGAACCTGAAGTTGGGGTTCCTTCTTTCAAGCACATGGCGCAGAATGTCACACAGCAGAGGACTTAAAAGTCATGTGCTGAAGGAATGGGCCAATAATTAGCACGTCCCAAAGTGGGGAAGACATGGCAACTCACAGCGTAGTATATAAACCACAATCTCTGGTAATTTCATGGCTATCTTAGAAGAAACTGATTTAGCCTGTGATGTCAACTATGTAACATTCAACGATTGCTGACAATCCAAAAATACTTCCTGGTATTTAGACAATGCCAATTATTCTGCAGGATTAGAAAATTAGAATGTACCCCACACAAAAAACAAAACAGGAAAAGGCTGGAATCTGAGCTGCCTTGATTCAAGAGTTGGCAAACGATAGCCCACAGCCTGATTTTGTATGGCTTATCAGCGAGGAATGGTTTTCACACTTGTAAATATTGTTTAAAAAACAAGAATGGAGGGATCCCTGGGTGGTGCAGTGGTTTGGCGCCTGCCTTTGGCCCAGGGCGTGATCCTGGAGACCTGGGATCGAATCCCACGTCGGGCTCCCGGTGCATGGAGCCTGCGTCTCTGCCTCTCTCTCTCTCTCTCTCTCTCTCTCTCTCTCTCTCTCTGTGTGTGTGACTATCATAAATAAGAAAATTTTTTTAAAAAATTAAAAAAAAAAAAACAAGAATGGGGCCCACGAAGCCTAAAAAAGATTTTACTCTCTGGGCCTTTAACGAAAAAGCTTACTGATCTATATCTAGAGCAGTGCCCAGTTTTGGCAATGATCAAGACATCCTATCTCACGCTTTCCAGCATGGGAGCCAGTAGCCTCATCCAGCTGTTGAACACGTGAAATGTGGCTGATCTAACTCCCTGAATTATAGCCCCATGCGGCTGCGCCTATCCTACTGGACATCACAGGAAGTAAAAGAAATGTTCCTGGAGTTGACCAAAGGGAACGAATTCCACAGGTTGGACGGTAATAAAGACTTCCGAGGGAAGCCAGGGCTTCACACTGAAATCTCTGAGCAGCTGAGTGCTACCCTCCGACACTTCCTGCAAGCCTTAGTCATCATTGCATTGCTTCAAAGAAAGCCATGGATACTATTTTCTTTTGATGATTTTTCACTGACACTGTGTATAACAAAGTATAACAGTATCTACACTTGGACAAGGAGTGGAGAGAAAATGAAACAAGCACTACATAGTTAAAAGTTTTACAAAAGGCACAGATCAAATAAAATAGAAGTTGGCTAACAAAAACTTACTTCTGAACATAGAAAGATTCTAGTTTTTTATAATCTCCACCAAAGCCTTTCCACTTCATGAAATCTCTGATTTCTGGATTGGACTCCCTTCAACAAAAACAGTGATTAAAATTGCATTAGAATTTGATAAACCCAGTCTCTGTCAAGCAGCACACATCCCTACCTTTATTTGTGCAAATTTAAAACTTAAAGTTTTGAGCCTAAAAACTTTATTATGAGGGATGCCTGAGTGGCTCAGTTGGTTAAGCATCTGCCTTCCACTCAGGTCTAGATCTCAGGGTCCTGGGATCGAGTTCCACATTGGGCTCCTTGCTCACAGGGAACCTGCTTCTCCCTCTCTTCCCCGCTCACGCTCGCTTTCTCAAATCAATAATCTTAAAAGAGAATAATTTCTTTATGGGTTATCCTAGTTTGCTATTTCATGCCTCTCTTCTCCATCTAAGGCTATTGGCAAAGAGCATTTTTACTTGAAAAAATTCTCCCCCACTTAATCATTGCCCTTCACTGTAGTCTTCAATCTCCACTGTCTCTCACATCTTGATTCTCCTTCCTAAAAGCTTGTACTCTCGAGTTATCTTACTAACTTAAAACCTTGCAAGCAGAGATCTTTCCCCACATCTTCCCTTTTCATGTGGAGACCTCAAATACCCACTTCAAATGCAATGGTTAAAAAAATAAGGATTTTAAAGAACTGTCATACCAACATTTAAATTCCACTTCGTCTCCTCCCAAGTGAATGAACTGATCTGGAAACACTGCACTAACTTCTTTGAAAAGCTGAGACAGGAAGGAGTAAGTTGAATTCAGAATAGGGTTTATGGGTCCAAAGGTCTCAGACTGCTTATGTCCATTGTAACATGGAGTCAGGAGGTTTTTCTGACCTAGAAGAAGTAGTATTTTAATCACGAAGACAAGGCTTTGCACATGATTATACTATTTTTAAGCTGTGAGTTTATACAGAAAAAAATAAGCACATTTACTAGGAATTACCTTGGTAAATTCCTCCAAGTAAGATGATGGAACTGATTCTTGAGTTCTATCCCCTGTGCCTGTTTCCTTTTCCATCATTCTATCTACTTCAAATATCTCAAATATTAATAACTCCCAAATCTCCAGCTCACCCAAACCCTTTTTCTTGAGCTTCAATCTGTATTTCAGATTCCCTGCTCGACACTCTTTATTTTTTATTTTTAAATTTATCTATTTTTTTTTGACACTTTTAGATATTCCAGCTGCACTTCAAATCCCATCTAACAAAAGCTAAATTCTCTGTTGAGTAAGTTCCTAGGGTAGCTGCTCCTGCTCCTTCCCTGGAACTTTCTGTCCTTCTCCACACAGCTGGTCAGTTGCCAAGTTCCATGGACCACACACCCAGAATGTCTCAGTTCCGTACATTATTTTTCATTCCCATTATCGCCATTCTGGTCTAGGACTTCCAAGTTCTTTCTACTTCCAGTCTATAACCTCTTCCTCGCATAGGTTTCCCCGGAGTGTGGTTCCCATCATGTGATGATTCTCCTCTAACTTTCACTTGTTTCCATGTGTCCTGATGGAGCCCACCTTCCTCACCCAAGGCCCCCCTCCCTCTACATGTATTTCATCAGATTCATCTCCCATGTCTGCCCTCCGTATTATCTGAATGAATATAAAGCTAGCATTTATAATTGTTATTTAATCCTCAACAAAATTACATGACAGTTACATTTTAGATATGGGGAAACTGAGATGGGACATTCTTTAACATGCTCAGGGCCATTCAGGTTATAAAAGACAGAAACAGGATTTAAAGCCAGGTTCTGTGGCTCCAGTGCCAGTTCCTAACCACCCTCTAGTGCTTACTATTTGCTGCGCTTACACTCCAACTTCTGCCTTTCCTCATGATATTCCCTTTACCAGAAACATAAATGTATTTTTTAATCCCTCAAAAGCATTTTAAGTGTCCTTCTCATCTCACTCCAACTTCTGCCTTTCCTCATGATATTCCCTTTACCAGAAACATAAATGTATTTTTTTAATCCCTCAAAAGCATTTTAAGTGTCCTTCTCATCCATGAAACCATTTCTTAAAATCACTTAGCATGTTCTACTTGTAATTCTTCCTCTAGCCCTTGTTGTCATACTTTAGGCAGCGCCTAGCCATCGTTCCTTGCTCACAATAATTATTCTATTCCATCTGTCGACAGTGCTACTTTTGTGCAAACCACACTTATGAATAAAATGAATAAACACCAGCTCATAAAAGATGGAGGACCTCAGGTACTCATTCTTTGCAACTTGCAGACACTCCTTACCTTTTCCCCAAGACTGTGTATGTCCAGGACTGTCAAATTCTGGTATGACTCGAATCCCTCGTAATCGGGCATATTCAATTACTGTATGGACGTCACTTGGTGTATAAACGTGAGACAAAGAATAGCTTCCCTATAAAAGCCATATTTATTAAAATATATGGAATGGATCTGTCCAGGATACTCTCAACAGTTGTATTTGCACAATGATACCGGACAAGTCATTTTTCTAGTATCACAATGTATTAAATAGTCCTATGTGATGTTGGAGGACTCAGTTTTAAAAATTTTTCTTTAATCCCCACATTTTATTTACTTATTCATTCATTCAAGCCCAGTGGCGCAGTGGTTTGGCGCCGCCTGCAGCCTGGGGCGTGATCCTGGAGACCCGGGATCAAGTCCCACGTCGGGCTCCCTGCATGGACCCTGCTTCTCCCCTCTGCCTGGGTCTCTCCCTCTCTCTTTCTCTCTCTGTGCCTCTATGAATAAATAAAAAAAAAAAAAACTTAATCATTCATGCATTCATGAGTAAGCTCTGTGCCCAGTGTGGGCTCAAACTCATGCCCTCAAGAGTCCCATGCTCTACTGACTGAGCCAGCCAGGCACCTGGAGGACTCATTTAAACTATTTACCATATCTTATCAGTAGGCTCAGCACACTGTGGGTTATTTCTGGATTTACTAATGGAACTATCTCTACTAGCTCCTCTTGTTTCAGGAACATTTACCGTCATGCTATTTCAACCTCGTAACCATACAACAAAAGAGAAATAAAATGTTATACTTCCAAAGTCAAATCTGTGAAAACTGAATACACTGCCTTGTCCATTTTAGAATGAAAATTCACACACTATGACAGAGTTGGGCTGTCACCTTTCAAAGTCATTTTAATTATTATCAGCTTTAAAAATTCCCTCAGACATGCTCTGATAAGTGGCTTTTTTTTTTTAAATCATTTCTCTCAATCCCTTTATAATGAGTATGGGTTGTAACTAAAGATAAAGGTCAATTAAAGGTGTTACTGTAGCACCTTTAAGATATAAATAAATATTACATATAATTTATAAGCTATATCTTAAGTTATACATAAATATAAATGCTCAACTCCTAAAAATTAGTATTGTCCCATGCACCCCATCAAATTTATATCCAAGCAAGATCAGATCTACTTACTTAGAGTAAATATTAGAGATAGAAGAACACGTTAACTGACAGTATGGAAATGTTATCAGCAAAACTCAGACTTTGGGAAATAGACAAATGATTTAGTTTAACAAAAATAACAAATTACCAAGAAAAAAAAAAAAAAAGATGGGCAGGGAGGACACCCATAGATCAAAAGACAATTAATGGACATATTAACTGACCACAGTATATGGAACTCATTTGCATCCTATTGCAAATAAAATTTTTTTCATTAAGAAAAGGTAAAGGCACTTGGGGAAATGTAAATAACTATTGGCTAGCTAGATTGTTAATTTCTCAGCTGCAATAATATGGGGTTTTTGTTTTAACAAAACATACCTTTTTTACATATGAGATATGGTGTCTGGGATTTCCTTAAAAGTAATGGTGGCAAGGGAGGATGAGTACAGGTGATACAAGATTGGCCAAGTACTGATTACTGAAGTTATGTGGCAAGAACATGGAAGTCATTATCTACTTCTGCATATGTGTGAGATTTTGTGTAATAAAAAGCAAGTGCAAACAGGAGTACCACTAACATTTCAACCTATACTACATAACACTGGAGAAAGCGTGGGAATTGTGACCAGAGGACAACACACAGAGTCCCTTCCTAACTGCAACTCTGGATGAGGAGGTCAGTTACCAAGCGAGATGACACTGAGGCTTGCTCCCACCTCCAAGGGTTTCATAATAGACTTAATCTGAACACTTATGAGACAGCCATTATTTTCCAAGGAGCTCTCATCTCTAAAATTCTCTATGTAGTTTTTCAGAGAGAAAACATCGTTTACAGAATCCAGTACAACTGCAGACTACGTGATAAAAATACTCAACCCTACATTAGTTGTGTGCTTCAGGTCTCTTACATTAAGTTTTTTAAAGTTTATTTGTGTAACTACTAGAGATTATTTTCATTCATAATAACAATTATAGTAAGTTTTATGGATGGATCTAAATTGGTAAGCCACGGCCTACTAAAAAAGTTTTTAAACCACAAACATGTAACTTTTATACTTTAATTCTATCCATAAGTAAGACTTAAGCTAAAAACTTCCAAAGAAACCATACAAACATTTTTGTAGACAGAGTACAATAACATGAATTACTCACTTTGTTGCTTAACTCAGGAAAAGTGACACTCTGATAAGGGAAAGACTGGTCATCGACTATGTGCCAGTGGAGAACATTAAACTTATTAAAAGCCATGGCATCCTACAAGCAAACATATATAAAAAATTATATATCACAGATACAATACACATACAATTTCAATTTACTTACCTGTATTCAGGATTGTTTCCAGTGTGTCTACTTCCTTTTAAATTCTTTTCAGCAAAGCAAGAATGCAAAAGAAATTTAAATTATCTTTTTTTTTTTTTTAAGATTTTATTTATTTGAGGGAGAGAGAGAGCATGAGTGGAGGGCAGGGGGAAAGGGAGAAGGAGACTCCCCGCTGAGCAGGGCGCCCAGTGCTGGGCTCGATCCCAGGACACTGAGATCATGACCTGAGCAGAAGGTAG